CATTGGGTTGTAGTTCAGGCCAGAGAGCTTGACAAGGGTTCCTTTTGCAGCAAGAATACATACATGCAGCTTTATTTAACCACCTCAAACCTTTTTCATGTACATACACATTACATGCATTATAAGTTTTTTCCCCCTTTTTTTCATGAATGATAGGGCTGCATTTTAACATGATAAAAGACTCTGCAGTAGTGAAGGAAAATTTTAAGAGCACGAAAGAGTAAAAAAAAAGAAAAGTTAATTACCGTGTGTTTTAATGGTTTTAATTTTACAAGCTTGAGGTTTAAAGCTTGTCGAAATCATTCCATAAATCCATAATTAGTATGACATTGTAATTTAATCAAATACCACTTTATTTTATCTTATTTTACTCTTGATCACTAATCCAAACACAGCCTTAGAATAAGGCATGTGACTTTAATTAAAAGCAATTATTTTTGTCTAAGGACTGTTAATCTTTTTTGTTAAAGTTTCACATTGACATAAATATTTTTAATAAAAATAAAAAAATGAGTAAACTCCAAGTCCAGATATATTTTAATAAATATTTTTTATATATTTAAAAAAAATAATTCAGGTATATGCTAAAAAATATTTATTATTATTTTTATTTTAAAATAAATTTTCAATTCAATGACCAGCAAAATAAAAATATGAACTCGTACGTTTAAAGTTATTTCAGATGAGAAGAATTTATGTGTTAAAAGAAATCACTCCTCAGCTCCTAGAGACTTCTACCTGTCTACCATATGTTTAGTTATATATTTATAAAATTAAATTTAAATGGATTCAATTTTATAAAATTAATTTTGTTTAACAATATTTTAATTTTTTTATACAATTTTTATTTAAAGTAAGAGTAATGTTTTTTTTACATTAATTTAAATATGATTTTGAAATACAAGTACTTTAATTACAATAAAAATAAAATAAAATGGAGAGATGTAAATGTGTTGAAAAGTTAGTTGATATTAGGGGGTTATTATAGAAGTTGAAAGGGAGAGAGAAAGAAAAAAAGAAGACAGGATGCAGAGTTTGTAGTGGGGACTCTGGGAAATGGGAAATGGGAAATGGCCACAACTTTTTTGAATTTAATTTAAAAAGAAAAATATAGTTTAGTTTGTCCAAGCGAAGCGGGCACGCGAGTTTGTGCTCGGGAAACGCAATAATCTCATTCTCAAGTGAAGTCCAATCTCTCTCTCTCACACACGCTTTTTGTCTTTTTCTTTTATTTGTTGGGTGATTCTTGCGCGGGAAAATGATGCACCCGCGCATTGGAATGCATTTGCATTTGCATTTTGTTACGCAACATTTTCATGCTTATCCATTCATGCCCCTGCTGTGGTCGGTTAGGCTTTTTATTATTCCGTCCACACACCACACACCACACACCACACACCACACCAACACCCCAACACCAACCCCAACTAATAATATCATATGCTCACCCCCCAACTGCTGCATCTATCCCTCCTTTACCCTATGGTTTTTATTTTTCAATCCTACTCCAATCTTCAATTTCATCTGCCTCAACCATTCAATGTTTATATTGCATGTCATAAATTCCAAGACCTAATATTTTTCCCCAAAATTAAAAAGTCTTTCATCAGCCATGGCTGCTTAGCAATCACAGCAGGGAAATTGTTTTTTTACAATAAAAGGGATTTTTTTTGTCGTGAAAAAGAAAAGAATTTTTAAAGAAACAATAATATGAATAATAATAAATTAAAAGGAATCCATGTATTTCTTTTTCAACTCTGTTGTAAAGGTATTAATAAGATTTTTCAGTTGACGTTAAATTACTTAGATATTAATTTATTTTAATGCTAGAAATTATAACTTTTATATTAACATACAGTTTTATACGATTATATATGTTGTCTAAATATATATTTGAACGTATGTTTAATTTAATGTTAAAATAATAGTAAATTCAATGTAAAAACTAATTTTAAATATATTTTTAGTCTTCATCTTTTAGCAACATTTTTATTTTAGTTATTTTAATTTTTTTACTTTTTACTTTTGATATTAATATATTGCATTAAAATATTTATACATGTTGGTTTTTATTTTTATTGAATCTTTAAAAAATTTTATAAAAAAGTTAGAATTAAAATTATTTAAAATTTTAAAATTCACTGAAAATATTTAAGCTGAAAAATTATTTTTAATAGTGATAAAATAAATGTAGATGCATGACCATTACATATAAAATTAAATATACATTAATACTACAAAGCTTGACTTTGGTTGCTCTTAAAAAAAAAATCTTACTTTTCAATAAAAGAATCAGTCGTCAGAGTGTTTTTAAAAAATACAATTTAATTGAATATTTATTTAATAAAATTTTATTATATGAAAGAATATAGATTATATATTTAATAATTATTTTTAAAAGTAAGATATTAAGAATCTATCGTCATTAAAAAAAAAGTTGTTACAATAAATTAAAAGATGTTTATAATTATTTTTTATAACGAGATTTTATTCCATCTCAACGAAGAAAAAGTGTAATCTTCATCCAAGAATTTTGTGGTTATTGGGTAATATTTTAAAAAATAGAAAAAGAGTAGTTGGGAAAAGACACAGTTTCCATTTCCGTTCATTTGTCAATGCCTCGCAAGGAGGATACAGGTACAGCACCCCAGAAAATTCGTCTGTATGAGTTGCAGACCTTGCTCAGTTCTTAACATTCCTCGAGCAGTGTTATGGTTTCTCTAGTTATTCAATAAACAGTGAACCCTTAAAGCATATTGTATTGATTTAATTAAAATAATAATAATTCAGCCTCTAAATTTGATTATTTGACTCCTCAAAATATATAGTTTTTTACATTAATTCATAATTATATTTATTTTTTAATTAAGATTTTGTTTGAGAAATTGAAAAGAAAAATATTTGAAATTTAACTATTTAATAAGATATTGAAACATTCATAAGATAAATAAAAAAATAGTTTTTCGGGTCAGGAGATAAAATGTTACTCAAAATTATGCAGAGCTGGGCCAGAGGCCTTTTAACATTTTCAGGTTTTATTCTGTGAGTGACGCTGCATTATTTAAATATATAGAACTTTAGATGTTGTTGACCCATAAAGAAGATAATATTGTTGGGTTCCGTGCAATAAGCAAAATAAATGCTGCTATTAAAGAAGCCCATATACTTGAGGTGGGGTTTTTCGTGAGAGACCCAAACAATTGTTTTTGCCAGTGCAAAAAACAAAATTGAAACAAGGGAATTGATTTTGAGCTTTGAGAAAAAGTTCATGTCTTTCACCGTAATATTTTATGTCCTTTTATAACAAGTAAATCTCCTATTGAAATCATGATTCTTAATATTTATAATTATTTGCCCCCAGATTTAATAATTTTAGAATATAAATAACAATTTGTTATATTAAAAGCGATAACTGTTTACTAAAAAATATATATTTTTTACATATCAGTAGAGTTGTTTGAATACAAATTATGGAAATAATTTTTTGCCTACCCCCTGCAACCCACTGTAGGCTACACCCTACGATGTTTCCAAATTTTTGCTTTTGATATGATTGAAGAGAGAGAGACACATACAAATAAATTGATAAAATGTAAATATACGATATATGTATTTAAAAAGACTGTGTTTAGTAATATATCCATAAATATTAAGGACAAGCTTAAAATATTCAGGACAGAGTGGTTTGAAACATTTTTTTTAGAGTAAGGTTATCTTTACATTATTATGCAAGGATATGTTCACTTGAATTTTAGTAAGAGTGGGTTTAAATCGCTGTATGCTTCAAACTAAATTGAGTTTGAATTTGCCTTTACTTGTTTATAGACAAACACACTTTTATAGTTGCATTTTCTAAAATGTAACGCATCATGAGTAGTTGTACTGTTGAAAAGATTATTTAAGTAAAAGGGAGGGAGATCAACGAGTCTTGATTCTTAAAATAGTTTTAAATTCGATTTCTGTGTACATAGATTTAACAAATAGGTTTGGTTAGTTCCATTACATAATGGATATTTTTTACTTAAACGAACATATACTTAATGTTTAGAACTGAAAAAATAAGATTGAGGAGGGAAATAATATACCTAAAAACACGCAAGTCAGAAAATATTAAAAATGACAATTTAAAAGGGCAATTAATAATTGTCTCATATTAATAATAACTTTAAAAATGTTTAAAGTTATTTTACTGATAATTTATAAATGTTTTATTATTCTCAATGTAATTATAAAAAATTGACCATTGCTTATAGAAATTTAAGGAAACATTTTGAATTGAACAATTGAAAATGCATTTAATCATATATTATAAGCCTGAAAAGTACGTGTTATAAAATTAGAAAAACAAAAATGTGTGAAAAAGAATAATATCTATAAATAATAAATATTTGGTTTTATTATATAATTAAGACGAATGGAAAGTGATTTGCCAATATAAATATTTTCAATATAATTTGGATTTGCATTTTGCATTTTGCAATCAATTGAAAGGATGAGAGTGGATTGATTGTCATAAGGGAAATAGAAATAATATCATTCAATTTTCATCTTCAGATATATAATGTTAAATGTAGAAATTCAAACAAAGTGCATGTTTGGAAACATTTAGTTCATACGAAAACTCAAAATATTTGAAAATTGATAAAAACATATGATTGTATTTAATAAACAACTTAAACCAAGTTCACACCAATTCGCCATAAACGAAAAATAATTGATGAAAGCTTTTATCCTCTGATTCTTTTTACATGTTAGACATGCTGGATATGTACTAAGTAGGGCTTTGGTTTGCCCTTCAGAGGCAACCTATCAATTTGTTTAGTGATTAGTTTATATACGTATAGAAATCACGTTTACGTTAAAAATGGTGAGAATGCGTGATATCATGATTTTTAATTGAGCCAATTATTAACCTTCATTTTGGGTACTAGATAGTCCAATAAAAATGTATATGATAGTTCTAACTACTTTAAATAAATAGAAGTCACGCTTAACATACAATAAAGATTCTAGTTGTAATTTGTCACATTATCTCGCAAAGCAACAAAATGAAAATATTTTAAAGAGAATAAAAAGAAATCGAGCTTCGAATAAAACACAGAAGAAACAAAGGATGGTAAGAAATGTATTGTATATATTAATTAAAAAATAAATAGGGATAATTACAAAGAAATGAGTGAAAGTAATCTTCCAAGCTACTCATAAATATATTTATTATAAATAAATCGAAAGAAAACAATAAAAGCATGGCACGTGTCTCGAAGCCTACATAAGCGTGCTACCAAGGAAGAGTAAAAGGATAAAATCTGCACCGAATCCATCTGAAAAATCCAAATATAGGTTTTCACCTAACCCACTCCATCTCCGTCCATTCAGTATCCTGTGGGGAATTCGCAGTTCCCATACTCTGCAACAACGATTCACAAATCACAGTGTCAACATAAGTTAAAATCTAACTTGATGCACATTTTAATGCAAAGCTTTTTTGAAAGGGGAAAATGAAAGATACACTTACTGGGAGGTTGAGTGACGACATAAGCAGTCCCACCAAAATCGCACGTGCCAGTTGCACGTGACTTCTTCTGATAGTAACTGTTGAAAGCGTAGGAAGCGTGAGCCTCCAACGTGTTGGGATTGTAACACGTGGCATCCGGTTGAATTGGAGTGCAATCAGCACCACCTTCCCCACATGCGTAATTAAGAGCGTTCGCCAGCTTCTCAACCGAAGAAGCACCGTTCGCCACGCACCACGTCTGGCCCCGAAACGACGTCGTCGACACCGGAACCTCACTCTTCGACACGCTGTTTGAAGGCGCTTCATTAACCTCCTTAACCGTCAACGGAATATCATAAACCTTCTGTTCACTTGGATAGAAAAGCCCATAGTTTCTCTCCGATGTTGGGCCTTGTTTCTGGTTCTCGTTGAAGAGCGCGAACAAAAAAACGTTAAGTGGATCCTTGGGCCTCAAGGGGGTTCCACTCCCACCCAACACGCGCCGAACCAAGTTTCCGTTATACGACGCCGCATTGTCTGGGCCAGCTCCAATCTCGTTAGAGTCCCCAGCGGAGGGCCAACCCGTCTCCGAAACCTCGATCTTGACGTCGTCGTATTGAAGTGCTGACATGGCAGCAAAAACGGCGTCGACTTGAGCGTCGAAGAGGTTCGTGTATCGCAAGCCGTTACCCGAATCAACGACCCCAGGGTTATCCTTGAAGAGCGCGTAGTTCAACGCGATCGTGTCGGAGTTTGCCGAATACGCGAAGAACGGGTACGCGTTAACCATGAGGTATGACCCGGTTTTGCGAAGGAAATCCAGCATCGGTTTTATAACCTGTTCGACCAGTTCGGTTTTGAACGCACCGGACGAGGTTGGGTATGAGGTTTGAAGAGCGGAGAGTGCGATTGGTGACGAGATTTTGATGTTGCTGTCGAGGTTGTACTTGGAGAGTGAAGCGTGGACGTTGTTCATGGCAGGTACGAGGAACTTTGTGGTGTTGTTTGGGTCAACGAACACTTCGTTTCCCACGGCTATGGCTTCGATTTGGGTGGCTGGGTAGTATTTTGAGATGTTTGCTTGGACCCATGCGTCGGTGAAGGATTGATCCGCGGCGGCGTTTGAGAGAAGCTCGTTTGGCATGGCAACCACCACCTTGATGCCCGAGTTGGCAAACGCGTTTAGCACGGTGGCGTCGGTGTCGTAGAGCTTCACACGGTTCAGACCCTGAGTCTTCAGAAGCTCCACCACCTTCGCCGGGGTAGGTAGGTCGTTCGCCACTCTTCCGTAGTTAATTCCGATAGAACCCGCTTCTGAAAAACACGTTGAAAGATTGCATTCACGTTTAAACATATAGGCAAGCAAGTATTGTAAAAACTAAGAAGCAAAAGAAAATGCATGTTTAAAGAAGCAAGAGCTGATTTACCTGATGATGAAGCATAGAATGTAGTAAGCATGAAGAAGAGGGAGAACGAGAATGTGAGAGAAGCCATGCTCTGTTTCTGAGTGAAGCAGAGCATGCAGAACAGAGAAAGAAAGAAAAAATAGCAGTTACCCTTGATTGCGATGAAAGGGTGTGGAATTTTATAGAGAATGAGTGGGCCAGGAGGGTTGAAGATAAAGAGCTTTCGCTTTATGCATTTGCATTGGTGGGACCCTCGTTGGAGACCCACTCACCAATGCACTATCTCAGAACCGCTAATGTTAGGTTAGAAAATGTTAACAGAGAAAAAACCAAGTTTTTGAAAAAAAATAAAATATAATATTAGCATAATGTCCGTTGGATCTTGAGTGGGGTTATCTTGCTGACCGTACACGTGGAGTGTCTCCTTTGGTTCAGCGTTGTGGACAAGGACACGTCACGAATTAGACGGGGTGAGGATGCGATTGTGAAGGGTGAGTGGGGGGGAGGGGGGGGGGGTACATGTTTTTCTATTTTTATTTTTTTATCGTGGTACAATGATGAATTTGCAGAAATTGGGCCTAGGATTTAATAATTTTGCTCAAATTTGAACGTTGGACTTTGCTATCCAGCAATGCTTGATTTGATTTTGATGCCCTTAGTTTTGGTTCTTTTGGGTAAAAACAAAAAAATGGATGGGATTCATTAATTCAGAACTATGCATATGATAATATATAGTAGGCATCGCCGTGACAGCATTGTCCCATTATTTTATCCAATGAGATTTTACGTTCATTCATATTATCATTGACGATATAGACACATTAGTATACTACGTTAGCTCAATCACCTATTTGTTCAAACCATTAAAAAAGTATAATAAATTAGTCATTTATTTATTTGATCACGTCGGCCAAATAATTTGTGTGTGTAACCTTTCTCTTCCTTCATTCTTCTTCCATTTCTCGTAAAAGGTTTTCTAATTCCTTTTTTCTTCAACTAAGTATGTGGAAAGCTAAAACCGTGTATTAGTTTATCGCGTTAACGTTCTTCTTGCTCCCACTCCCACGGCCACAAGGAAACATGTGTACTTTTGTTTAAATAGTGAAGTTTCCCCCACGAAATAATCAGAAGCTTGATGGCCAATTGTTTAATTCATGGCTAAATTCTAAACTCTGACATTAATTAGGTTGCCAAACTATGACTAGTTAATCAAATTGTTTTCTAAAATATCAAATCTGTTTAAACAACTACCCAAAATATGTAATGTAAATGTTTTAAGATGTTGAAACGAAGGCAATCACGTAATTAAAGTGGACATTTTCCTACTTTCCTATGCACTCAAGATTTTCTTTTTCACCTAAAATCTCTGTTATCCGAGCATCCAAGTTATTTTGAAACCTATTTTATTTCCCAGTATATAGGGTACACTTGAAAAATTAGTCAACAAATATCTTTGTATATATATGCGGCTGTGGCATTTTCTGTGATAACCAGGGCTTATCCACAGTTCTAAAAAATGTTTTTTCTTTCTTCTGTCAAATTGCATTATATATGTATTCAATTAATAAAGAGCTCAAGTTTAGTACGCATCCTTATTTTATCAACTGGTGCAGATCAACTGAAAGGAACCTCAATATGAAACCAAAGGAAGCCGCAAGACTTCAACATTTCAAGCGGACAAGTAGTTAGTGATGAAAACTTGAGATAGAAGAAACGGAACAGGATCAATAATGATTATCTTCGTTTGAAAATCACAGAAGTAGCAAATGAGAATGTTGGAAATTTTCCATGGTGGACTAGTGTGTGAAAATGGCTCTATCCCTCTTTCTTATGCATTTCATTAAAGCACACGCCAGGTAATGTTATGGCCATTGCTTTGAAATGATTATGACTCTCGGTGGGAATTTCTACCATCAAGTGGGGATTTTTTCTTCTTCTTCTTCCCACTAATTTGATGGAAATTATTCGTTATCTTGAGGATAACCAATTGTTTTTCGATGCAAAGCAACAACCAAAAATTGTACAAATATTCGTTGTTTTTTTTTTTCTCGGATATCAAGCACAATTATTATTATTCACAATAGAATTTATCCATCATATGTAGTCCAACAGTTAGACGACATAGAGATAATTTGCTATCTTCTAATAATACTTTATTCTATAGGGGGGGAGTGTACATGGATAGAATTACTCCTCCAATCTTTTGTCTTGAGTGCAAGATTTCCACACTACACAATTATGTTCGTACTTAGTCTTTATAAATACACTAGCTAGCCATTGAACAGTTATTATTGTTATTATTATTAAGATGTAAACTTATAGATTGATATGAAATTATTATAATTTTATATAGCTACTATAGATATATTAGAGTTAGAGTTTTCTTAATCAATATGTATATTATTAAATAATATGATAGAGTATACTAAATGATAGTGTGCATTTTTTTTAACGATAATGATATGTCAAAATTAAACCTTTATAGTTTGATCATGTCGTGTATTTAAGGTTTAATGACATTTAATTTGGGCACCCTGTTAAATAGAAAATGAGTAAAAATTCAAGTCAATCTTTAAATAGTGAATGACAATCAATATCAAATTAGCTCTAAAATAATGACTTTTGAGTAGCGCATAATTAATATAGTTTGCCCTTAATATATAATGTTAAATATTTTAATACTACAATAATATCATTGGGTGATTGAATTAAAGTATTTAAAAGTCAAATTGTTATTTTCAAAATCTTTAAAATACTAAGTGAAGGTCGATGCGGTCGTTATCACATCATCGGTCCCTACCCCAAACTCTCTTTTTTCATTCATTTCTTATCAATACTCTATTTTCAGAGAAAAGTAATCATTTTCATCTAACATTATTGTACTCTATACAATCAAAACTCCCATGATTGAAAACTAAATATAGATAAATTATTTTATATCTGAGTAATTTTTATCATTTTAATTATAATTAAATTTATTTTATTAGTGATTTTGCCGTATGTAATGGTGTAAGAAACAGAAATGAGTAGAGTATAAATGACGTGCAATTATTTAGGAAAATGAATAAAGGCGTAGATGAGTGGGTGAAATGCATCATTCTTCCATGGCACAAACAACCAACTAACCTTCCCATTATGAATCCAATGGGCGGTGGGGACCTTCTGCTAATTAAAAAATCTTGCGGATGAAGAATAAAATCGATACTTTCGTACAAATGAAACATCAAAGTAACTTGTTTTCTTCAGCCTTTCTATTTTCTCTAATTTAATCTTAACAGTAAAGAAAGCAATAATAGTAGCCATTGGGATTATCGTTGAATTAACTAAAGGAAGTGGTTGGAGGGTATTCTTTCTTTCGGTTCAACTCTCTACACCACACAAGGGGCATTGCTATGGGATCATGCAAATAATGAAGATCCCAATTCAGGTCAGCAAAATTTTGTTACCCTAACATTCTTTTTACTATATGAAAATCATTATTTTTATTTGCCTATGATTAATCAAAATAAATTTAAAAAAGATATATTGTTGATTCGTTATCAACAAATCATTAATTATAAAGATTGATTGTAAAATTAATATGCTCTGCACACTATGAAACTCATTTTTCATCGAGTCAAACTGCATTATATCAATTTCACACTGGTTTCATTTATTTTAGAAATCTCAATAAGCAATAGGGAGTTTAGACGTTTCACACTTAAACTCTCAGGAGCATCACTCATACTAAAAAATGGCAGTTCATTTTGATTGGTTCTCTCTTAGTCGGTAAGAGTCGTTCCTAGCTAGTGTTGGGGTCATGTATAACAAATTTTGATATTATTGTATATTTTGGTGTCCAAACTACCACGATTTGTAAAGGGGAAGGACTAAACGTAATAGAAATAAAATCATTCATAATGTTTTTCACATTATTATTTTTTAAAAGTTATTCTTCATAATATTAAAGTTTTTATAATTAAATAATAAATAGCTTATTTTTGCCATCCTATTTTTAAAAAATGAATACATTATTCATTCTTTAAGCTTAAACTTTTATCACATAAAGAGGCTTACTGATATAAATTAAATTGTAAAGTGTTCAATTAAAACGTAAGATTTTAGGTGAATTCGTCCCTAAAAATAAGCTAACAAGGCAATTTCCGGTTTCTTTTTTAGCTAAAATTGGAGGGTATTTATGAAGGAAGTTCAGCATACGTTTTCGTGGTTGGTTCATTTGGTCACCTAGCTAGGTTGCTGGAGTTTGATCGAGAAATTGTGGGGTAAAAATTTGTTCTAGGCATATAGTTTTCAATGGCCATGTCTCTGTCTAGTGTTTGACTCATGACCAAATGGAAGAGGTTTTTATCTAACCATTAAAAGAGGAAGCCCTTATTGTACAGATAAGGCCAAGGAGGTGGAGGTGTCTATTTGTCCATTCGGTGGAAGTGGGGTATACCCAATTATATACATCATATTGTTTATACTTCACATTAATCCTTGTTCTATCCCTCCCCACAAATAAATGATATATGTAGCAATATTTTTTAACTTTAAACCAACAAATTAATTTAGAATGCTTGAACTCCAAGGACAAATTATCACAATATATCTGAACTAAAGAAGTAAACATAAACTAATAATTTTATATATATATATATATATATATATATATATAGTCAACAACTTATGAATATACTTAAAACAATCTTATACTTATGTCTCATTATTTCCTCTCTTTACTCTTTGCAACCCCATTTCATAGTACAATGCAAATTTTGGGCCATCCAAATCCTTGTGAAAGGCCAGACTCATTTCATTTTCTCTTTGAGTACAAGCTTTTCATTAAAGGTTGGCAGGCCCAATACAGCAATACCATATCCTGATGGGCTTCTAGAGTTAAAACCCAAATGGTATAGTGGGCCCAATAAAAACTGACAGAACAATGACCAAAAACCAAATAACTCATAAACCGACTTAAGAAGTTAAAGTTTGACCGGGAAGAGAGATATTGATGAGGGTGATACATGTGTTCCAATAAGATCTAAGGCGTGCATCACTTTGGTTAGATTCATGGCCGTTTATATAAGTAGTTGTTCTAAGAGGAAAGGAGGAACAAACGTTGTTGTTTGGGAGAATTGAGGTGAAGATGTCGGGCATGGCCAACGAGGAAGATAAGAAACCCACCGATCAGGGAGCTGCACACATCAGCCTCAAGGTCAAGGGACAGGTTTGTAATTTCACTTTATCTTCTACTTTTCTAGATTTATTTCTTCTGTCATGAAGGTTTTCTTCGTTTTTATTTATTTTTAATTTTTCGGGTTTTGCATTAATGGGTGGCTTTGATCACGGTTTGGGACTTTTGAGTTAATGGGGTTGAAGAAAAACAGAAACTTGTTCTGTTTTTTCTTAAAATTACTTGTTGAATGTTGACTGCGAAGTTTGTGCCTGATGTGCTTAATTATGGCGGCGGTTAAACTGTTTTGCAATCAAACCTATGCTGAGAATTTAATTCCTCTGTAGGGAAATTCAAATTATTTAATCATCTGGATAAAGTAGAATTTAATTAGTTTGTTTTAGCTCCCTTTACTTAGGTATGGGATTATGTGTATTAAACCATTTCCATATTGAATCTCTACTTCAGATAGCCAAGCAGCACCAGAATATGATTGTTTGCTTGGACATCTGGACTTTTTTCTGCTATTCAGGTCTCTTAGATCTGAATATAGGTTTTATGGAAGGAGGGTTATAGTCTATTTATCGTTGTCCTAAATTCTATATTAGTTTCGTGTACCTTTTCTGTTTTGACAATATCAGGCTTGACTTTAGATTAATGACAACTTTAAAACTTGATATTGAACTGAGAATACCTTTGGTGCATGGTTCAGTTGATTCGACTATGATTGAGGCATTGAGCCAAATAATATTATCAAGGGTAATTGAACAAAAAGCGTGGCGGTTTCATGGTCCAGTTGGTAGAACAGGCCGGTCTGATTGAGGTTTTAAAACTAAAACAAGGTTTTAGATGAGTGGCTATTCTCATAAAATTTGTAAAGGTCATGCACTCGCTATTTTAACAAGAGCAAGATACTCAATCCAGCATTTTAGTTTACTATTGGGAAACAATTTGGAGTGTTCTTGCTTAATTTTTGACAAGTGGAAGCAGAAGTTAAACACACTATATTTAAATGGTTATACTTTGCCATCTAGGCTTATCAAAATGTTACGGCTTTCTCATTTTAGGCTTTTCAATTGAACCTTTATATGATAGCATCATAATAAAATTGGAGGTATGGAATATACATGAGAGTGAATAGGCTAATCTGACCTTCGATACCGTAGGATGGAAACGAAACTTTTTTCCGGATCAAGAGGAGCACTCACTTGAAAAAGCTTATGAATGCTTACTGTGAACGACAGTCACTGGATTTAAACTCTGTTGCTTTTCTGTTTGATGGCCGTCGCCTACGATCGGAGCAGACTCCAGATGAGGTTTGCATATGCTATTATCTGTTTATAATTAATGTTTATACTGTCAACATTTGTTAATTTTTGTTGTGTGTATATGTATGGTTTCTGACTTGGCCCAACCTCAACTAGTGAGATGAGATAAAACTTGGTTGTTATTGTTGTTGTTGTTGTTATATGTATGGTTTCTGACTCATATTTTTGGTGCAGCTTGAAATGGAGGATGGGGATGAAATAGATGCCATGCTCCATCAGACAGGAGGTTCTCTTGTCTAAGGATGTGGTTATGGTTTACCCTGCATCATAATCTTAACTAGTTTAACTAAGGTTGGTGCAAAAGATGCAGCTTCTATCAGTTACTACTATACTGCCCATGTTGTTGGACTTACAAGTCCAACGCTTCTTTTGTCCATAAGAGTGAGTAGAATAACATTTGACGTTTGAACTTGAAAGCTGATAGCCTAGGTTTGGGTGCTTAATATACAATCTTCATGTATCTGAGCATGTAATCTATGATATGTGGCTGCTTGTTAGATGGTGTCTCTGAGTGAGCATGCCTTGGATGCTAGAAGTGATTGGAACCCAATGGATATGTGAATCTGAATGGGCCTGACCTTATATTTTTTAAATAAATAGTGTGATAAAATAATAAAGTGTGTTTGCTTTCTAGAGGAACACAGATGAATAGGCTTGATATTTGAATGAGGACAAAACTTAGTGGTTTTAGTGTAATTTTTGAATAAAAATTAATTTTTGATCTCACTAATATGAACACCAATGAAAGCATCTAAAGATCTGCAGTTTTGTCTCTCGTGTGTGTGTGTGTGTTGCAAAGAGTTATTTTAATGAATTTGATATTTAAAATTAATTGTTTAAAAATGAGTTTAAATTGATGTGACTTGTGTTTAAAAAATTTGTCTTAAAATAAACATTTTGACTTTAAATGGAAGTTTAAAGACAAAATTGATTTTGGTTAGAATCAATCAAACGTCATTTTTGAAGCAGATTATAATAAAATAAAAACAATTTTGGGTCATTTTAATGGGGATCCAAAGATTCAGATACGCTAATTTGCATGAGGGCTCATTTATTTCAAGCTTCGCTCTTCGATAATAATGGGTTTAGAACTTACTGACCCCCTAACACTTCTGTACCGTTCTTCTTTGTGTAAGAAAATAAATTAAAATCGCTATAAAGTTGACTGCAATGTGAGGGTTTGTTTCTCAGTTGGGCCAATGTAACGAAATTTTTAAATTAAAATTAACGGTTAACATGATTTATAAATCAATTGTTATGACCTAAGTTTTGTTTTTCCCCCAAACTTGCATATTTGATTCCGATGGTTTATCAGGATCTAAAACTACTCGTAGGATTCATTTTTTGAGTAATTGTAGATGATGAATATTTTAATTTATTATGTTAAATAAATGCTCGTAAAATTTCAAAATTCGTAGCGTTGAGTATATTTTCACTTGAAGTTTATTAGGTTCATAAATAAAAAACAGGTTAGTACCTAAAGAGATTTAGACCACGGCAAAATATAAACGCTAAAATAAAATAAAAAAGTTTGGCATATTCATTATTTATCAACAATTGTAATTAAATTTAATTGAAATATATTAACTATATAAATAGTTTTATTTAATCATAAATTGATATAGCAATTAATAACATGTTACATATTTATTATATTTTTATTAATTATTGAATGAAAATTTAAAATCAGTTATATAATTTGAATTATAAAAAATAAAAATAAATATAAATTAAAATATAAGAACTACCAATTTAATTAGATTTAGTAATTTTTTATATAATTTTATCTTAAATTGATCGCTAGATTAAATTTTCTATCATATAACTTATATTTACAATTTTTTTATTATTTTAAATTATTTAATATTTTATTCAATGTAATGTATACTTTTAAAATATAAAAATTTAAGATATTTTAATTGTATTTTATAATTATTTAATTTAAACTAAATTTAAAATAACTAATTAAAGTAATATATAATTTTTTTTTCAATTGACAGTATTTTGATATTAAATATTATATTCTTTAATTATAATATTTCTATTCAGTTTTTGACATTTTATATAATAAAATTGATTGGAAAAAATATTACTAAATAGAAAGTTAATTGTTATGAATTTAACATTTAAAAATATATACTAAAAAAATGTATTTTTGAATTTGATTAAAATGTAAGAACAATATAAAATATTTTTACACTATCATTTAATCTCGTATTGTCGAAGTAATAAAAGTTATTAAATTTTTATAATAAATATATAAAATTATATTCATTTAATATTTTAATTAATTAATGGTCTGAATTTTTTTTTATACAAACAATGCCGCAAAACAAAGTTATTATTTGTTATAATTATTTGGAATAAATTTAGTTTAAAACATATTGTAAAAGTATATTTGACTATACTTTTATATTAAATGATACTAGTATATTATTACAAATTAATTTTAAAATATTAATAAATTTATATTCCTTTTTTATAATGTATTTAATTACGTAAACGACTTTTCATGTTAGAAACATTATTACTAAACAAAAAAATAATTGCTATGATTTTAATAACTAAAAATATATACTATAATGTTTATTTAAAAAAAATAAATTTAGTTTGTAAACATATTTTTTGAAAGTAAAATTGACTGCACTGTGACATTAAATGGTATATTTAATAAGTGTAGTATATATAATGAATTTAAATAGCAATTTTAAATGTTATATTAATTCATTGTAGTATATTTATTAGGTGTATGGCTTTTGATTAATTAAAAATAATATTGAAAATTAAAATATGTACATTAAAATTTTAGGCAAATACTAACTAAACATTGATTAAAAAAAATTAAAAGTTAAAACTTTCTGTCAAACAATATTATTAAAGTGATTTTTCATGCAGTTAGCATGTTTACTAATACTAAAAATTGTATTTTTATTTCTTTAACATGAATTATATTACTTTTTTTTAATCATTCATTATAATAAAATTATTTTATAACAAAATTTAAAATCAAATTTAAATCAATATTTACACACACAAGATGTAAAATTAATCACACACATATTTGTTATATTAATTGTTAATCTAAATAAAATATTATGAGTTGCCTTAAATTTAAATAATTTATGCAATATTATTAAATATAATATTCATTAACTATAGAGTACGTGAATTAAATGACACTAAATTATGTAATATAGTTTCAAATTTGAATCCTAAAAATGTTAAATACTTGAGCAAATAACTTTAAACTAAAAATATTATATTCATTAATTACAATATATTTATTAGGTACGTGACTTTTTAGATATAAGATGATTATATTTTGATATTAAATGCTATATTTATTAAATATATATAATACATAAAATATTAAATAATATATTTATATAAAACATTGTAAGATAATAAATAATTTTTTTATTATTTTTATACAAAATAATATTCCTATACTATTTATAATATCTTTTATAAAAAATAAACAACTACTTCATCAAAATTAATAAAAAAAGTTACATATCATAAATTTACAGTATATTTTAAAAAAATAATAAAAGGTCAAATTTATAATTCATACATTCAAAGAATGAATCTACCCGTTTATATGAGTAAAAAGTGAATATGTTTTTAGTTTTCTATAAAAATTATGTAAAATTAATTTGCTTAAAAAAAATTTAAACCAAACGTTGAATTAATTAATCTTCTATTTTATTAAAATTTATTAAGTGCAAAAAATTAATACTAGATATTAATGGATGTTAACTTTTTAAAAATATTTAAAATAATAATTGGTCAAATTTATAACTCATGTATTTAATGAATTTATCCGGTTATACGGGTGGGTGAAGGTGCTTTTAATATAAATATAAACAAATAAAAGTATCGAAACAAATGTAGCATTAAATGAATTTTGTCTTTATTTTTACATTTTAGACTAAAAATAATAATATTTTTTATAAATAAAATAAATTAGAAAAAAAAAAAGAATTTCGAAACCGCAAAAGTCATTTGCTCCTTATGGTTTCAAGTGTTCTTCAACAAATATATACTGCTGTTCAATTACAGAGGAAATTCACCCCAACGGTGTTCCTCACGCGCCTTGATTCAAAATGAAATTTTGTAAAATCCTATTGGGGTATTTGAATTTGTTTACAAACAAAACAAATGAGAGACAAAATATACTAGCCAACAACGTAGCAAGATGATGACTGATGCCCCTGTTAATCTCCCTACACTAAATATATACACTGATACACAGAGGTAGAGAGATTCATATTTCATACGTTAAAGACGGAGAAATGAAGAAAGACAAAGTTCAAAACAACACTCCGTCTTTGACACTATGCATTGCTTTACTCTCTCTCACCACAATCTTCCTTCCTTTATGTGAGTCCTTCAACTATGGCCAAGCCCTCTCCCAGAGCCTCCTTTACTTTGAATCTCAGCGTTCAGGTCGCTTACCCCACAACCAAAGGGTCACTTGGCGTCACCATTCTGCCCTCACTGATGGTCTAGAACAAGGGGTACATTCATTGATTACTTTCTATCTAAACTGTGTTCTTTTTTTCTTTTTCTGTCTACCCATGTTTCATGTTTCAATTTTCATTCACTCCAATGTTGTTTGTGTTTTTGGGCACGTAGGTGGACTTGGTGGGAGGTTACTATGATGCTGGGGATAACGTTAAGTTTGGGCTTCCAATGGCATTTACCATAACACTCCTCTCATGGGCTGTCTTAGAATACGGGGAACAAATCGCTGGTGCCGGCGAGTATTCTCACGCGCTGGAGGCCATCAAGTGGGGCACCGATTATTTCATCAAGGCCCACACACGACCAAATGTTCTTTGGGTTGAGGTATTTATTTCAATTCATTTCTTATAATTCCACTGATTTTTAATCTTTGAAAATTAGTTACCCCACGCGCCGCCGTTGAGAATGGGATGAATGCTAATACTCCTTCCAAACTCACCGGCGGAATAGATTCAGTTGTCGGAACAGTCAGCGGATTCATCATGAGTTTCTGGGCCGACTCGCCGTCATGGCGCGTTGCATCACTCGCGGCTGGACATGAACTTGAAACCCTGTATATAAATTATGAATGTAGCTTATGACTGACAACTTTCAGGTGGGTGACGGCGATACTGATCACTACTGTTGGCAGCGGCCGGAGGACATGACGACGTCACGGCGAGCTTATAGGATTGACCGGAACCAGCCCGGCTCCGATGTCGCCGGCGAGACGGCGGCAGCGTTGGCAGCGGCATCCATTTTGTTTAGGAGAACAAACCCACATTACTCTCAACTACTTTTGCACCATGCGCAACAGGTATGTTGGACTTGGTTAGTAACTGATTATATATATATTGTTGTTGTTATTCAACGCATTACACAGTTGAATTGGATTAATTTAATTGAATTATAACTTTTAATTTGACTATGGATAATTGGTGGTGATAGATATTATAATATGAATGTGGTTGTGTTGTGTAGTTGTTTGAGTTTGGTGACAAGTTTAAGGGGAAATATGATGAGAGTGTTGGAGTGGCTAAAGGATATTATACTTCGGTTAGTGGGTACATGGATGAGTTACTTTGGGCAGCGATTTGGCTTTATAGGGCCACCGAAAAGGAAGAATATTTGAACTATTTTTTGGACAAAGCTTATGACTTTGGTGGGACCACTTGGGCCATGACTGAATTCAGCTGGGATGTCAAGTACGCAGGTCTTCAAGCCATTGCTTCTATGGTAATTATAAATCTCTCTTTTCTCACACATTTCCCAACTAAAGCATGTCCTTTTTCTAAATTCTAATCTTTCATTAATTATTCTTCTACCTTCTTAAGTTTTAAAATGTCAAAAAAGGTTCATTAGAAGTGCTACTATTGTACCTCACTTTTGGGCCATGGTTTATTTCTTTAGATTATTTATTCATTTATTTTGAGTAAAAGTCTAAAAAACGCTTATAAAGTTCTTATTTTAAGGAGTAACTGTGAATTTTATTGGGTCTATTATGAGATCAATGCAATTTTTTTATTTTGCTTTTAACAGCTTCTCATGGAGGAGAAGCACAAGAAACACGAAGTCATACTCAAACAGTATCGTTCAAAAGCCGAACACTACCTCTGCGCGTGTCTCAACCTCAACAACGTTACTAACGTGCAGCGCACCCCAGGAGGGTTACTGTATGTCCGCCAATGGAACAACATGCAATATGTCGCAACGGCGTCGTTTCTTCTCACAGTGTACTCTGATCATCTCTTAGCCACAGGTCAGAAGCTTAATTGCCAAAAAGGGGAAGCGGGTTCCAATGAGTTATTTGCCTTTGCAAAATCACAAGTTGATTACATCTTGGGTTCTAATCCAATGGGTATGAGCTACATAGTAGGCCACGGATCCAATTTCCCCCGGAGGGTGCACCATAGGGGTGCATCCATTGAATCATACAATGGGAACAAGGGTTTTATTGGGTGCACTCAGGGTTATGATAACTGGTATGGACGGCCCGGGCCCAATCCCAATGTACTCATTGGGGCCCTCGTTGGTGGGCCTGACATAATGGACCAGTTTAAAGATGACAGGAGCAATTACATGCAGACAGAGGCTTGTACATACAATACGGCGGCACTTGTAGGGGTTTTTGCTAGATTGTATGGATCCGAAGGTGATGTTTATAACAATGAACCATCTTTGGTAGCTTCTAGCTAATTGAGAGATTATAGAGAAGTTTTTGGCATATACTATGGTTATAGACTTATAGTTTTATGGCATTAGATAGATACTGCCATTGCAATTTGAGTATATAGTTAGATATATACAATATTGTTACTCAAGGCGCAAAAAAGCGTCTAGGGACATTAGGTGGAATCGCCAATTGTACCATTTGTACTTAGTAAACGGAAAAAGTGAGCATAAATGGTGAAAGAGGGCTCTATCCTTTATTTACTGGTGTGCGAGTTTATTCAAACCTTAAAATTTATCACAAAGAAAGAAAACTGATTAAATAAAGTAGAAGTGTGAAAATTTATTGAATTTCAACGTCAATTGAAAGAAAAGTTTCGAGTTTGATAGATTGGCAACCTAATAGTAATAGTTGCACCTACCGACACAAAAAGGCAAGTTTTATTTGCAACACTTGGAGCATGAAGGAACAGGGATTGAAAATCTCACTAATATGAAAAGAATTGGTTTTTGTTTTTTCAAATCACGGGATTCTTGGGTTTCTTTTTCTCCATAACTATGGTTATGATCTGATCCTTCAATTACGGTTGCAATGGTAGAATCAACATGCCCAAAAGCACTTTTTCCATGGAACCAAATTTGCGGGGTAATGGCCTCGCATGAGCCACATGGAAAAGCCACCCAAAACGAAAATCAAGCAGGATTTAGTGCCACGATGCTTTGTTTCGAGTCCTCAAAATTCAAGTATTGGTCCCAATCACAAGGTTCGAACGTTGAAACCCAACACGTCACACCATATAACCCATCTTTGTTAACGCACAAATGTAGCGCGTGGAAGTGGCAACACGGTCAGTACTATTTTTACTTTGGAACATTTTTATTTTTATTTAGGAAGTGTCGTTTTCCTTGTGGGAATAGAAGAAACACAAAGGCATTGGAACATGCGGTGAAGCACAGTTAATACCATATTTACAACGCAAGAATGTTTGAATGTCGTAAAAGGAATAGTGCACAAGCCAGAAATGTCACCTTGCACCGTAGGCATAGGCTAAAGCCAACGTCGCAACATTGAATGAAGCATACTAATTATTAATCGTGCAAGAAATTCATGAAACAATAATGGCAATTCGTGATGGTTCAGGGCATTCACGATTTAGATGCACACTTTTAATGAGTCTGGAAATTTCATCAAAATCACGTTAACTCAAGTAGCAATGGCAGAAAGTCAAACATAAGTCAGAAAGTAGTTTCAGCTGGGCAGAACTTAATGCTGGAAAAAAATGCTAATAAAATTTTTAATGCGCGAATTTTATCACTTTTTAATAGAGTTAAGTCGAAATTAAAATAAAATGGCATAGGTAGATGCAAATTAACACAAAAAAATAAAAACTTGAAAGATAAAAGAAAAAGAACCAATGTACTGCTTGGAAATTGAAAATTTTAAGAGGAATAACTGAATTTAGCCATTTGGTTCCAGCCACTAATTTTTGCAGGCTGATACACAATTCAACTTTTTATCTAAAATACTTTAAAAATCTTTACTGATGACAAAATTTTATTTAGAAATGTCATGTTTTAGGGAATATTAAAATAAAGCCCATAAACTGAACCAAACAAATGATTTCATTTTTCAGGCTCAATCCAGTGAGTGCACGAGATACATACGCTACGGGGTGGAGTTCAGCTCAAGCCCAACCTACATTGATAACATTGTTTTTTTTTTTATGGCATTTAAAATTCCCATCCATAGTGGAAAGCTTTGTAGTTATATTAGTAAATTTATTAAATTAAATGACAATTTTGGTTAGCTATCACCTGAATCTTGATATATACTCTCAATATGTCTGCCCCTAATTTCAGAGAAATAAAAAATGTTCATTTATGTTAATACTCATTCTTTAGTTCTCTGTCACGTATTAAGAACCTGATCTATATTAGAATTTTTATTAATTCTGAAAATATTATTTACTATAATAATAACATTTTAAAAATATTTCTTTATTTGAAATTATTTTTTCGTATCATTTAAATATTACACATTATAAAAACAATTTTAATGTGTGCTTAACAGGTGTAAATTGTATATGGACTTGTACTTAGTTTTGGCCATATTCCTATTTCAACAACTAGCATCATTCAGTTTAAATTTACGTACAACACATAACATAAGGCACATGAAATTATTTTTTGTCAGTCAGAAAAGTTAAATTCAAGCATGATAAGAACACCTAACACACTTGGTGTTGATATGTTGTTTCTTTGACTATTTGTCTTTCTACTACTTATTGGTTACTTCATCCTTTGTCAAACATAAAATTTGTTTGTGTATAATTAATGGTAACACAAAATTTATTTTGCATTCTATTTCTACCTACCAAACTCTTTGTGGGCATACATATCTTGCCTTTTACATAAGGAATCTGCTCATTTTGTTTCGATCTATTTTCACAAAACTAACTCATCATCTTTTTTAAGCTAGCTTTAATGGGTTCAAAATTTTAAAATTAACATTAAGTCAGACAATTGAACTTGATATTTTTTATTTTTTAATAATTATATATTAATGTTAACTTTTTTTTATTTAAATAGATAATATTTTATAATATTAAGTCAAACTTAATAGCTTGGTTGCGTACCTTTCGATCTAGCAATAATAGTATATATTTACAAAATCAATAAACATGCGTAGTAGCCTTCAAGCTCACAATACGGATATCAACCTATTACATACAAGTACATAGCTTATGTTTAAGTTTGACAAAAATAGCTAATAAATTAATTAAAAATTAGGTAAAAGTTGATCTTTGATAATTTTATTTAAAATCAATATTTTATGAAAAATAAAAATAAGTAATATTTAATGAGAAATTTACTGAAATAACTAATATAATATTAAAAATACAATAAATAAGAAATTTTAGAAAAATATTAAGGATAAAATAATAATAGTAAATTATAAAATATAAATTGAAAATATACTTTGAATAATGCCATTATGAATTAATGAGAAAAGTTTGTTTATGAAATACTTTTATTTTAACCAAAGCATATAAAGTAATAAAATAAACTATAAACTATAAACTAATGAAAAAATCTTATAAAATAGACTTTACATGAACCAATTTGCATAAGCACAATAATGCACAATCCAGTGAAGATAAGTGCTAAATTAGGTCGTGATGTCTCTCATTCAATCAATTTCAAAGTGGATGATACCTCCCAACTACAAATTGGGGTTAGACAATAACATAACTTCAATGGAGGGCCCTCAAACATTTCTTTCACTAGAATGACACATCTAACTTAACTTTACGAAAGCACCTTAGGAGAAAAGGAAGTGTTTAAATGGCCACAAATTTTACTTCTTTTGACACAAAAAAAAAAGCTAACCACAATAAATGTAGAATTGTTTCTTTTTTAATTTTTTTTTGGTGACAAGAATTGTTGATTCTGCTGTGATGTGTTTGGCTGTGTTAATATTGCCCTCTGCTAATAACACACTTACGCGTCCCGAATGACCCAACACACAGCCTTGAATTCTCTTATCACGACACGACCAACAAAAAAATAAATTCTCTTATCATGATAAGTAATCTTTATTTCTTTTTATAAATCCTCAAGATGAAGAAAAAAATTGTTTTTATTGGTTTGTTTATATAGAAATTCAAAATAATAATTTTTTTATTAATGTTCTTTTATTCATATAAAATATTGATACAGTCTGAGTAGCTCAAAAATAAAAAGCACTTATTAATAAAAAATATATTAGTAAATTTAGCTATTAATTATAGTAAAATAATTGAAATTATTAATTTGTATAATTTTTTTCTTAATAAATAAAAACAAAAATAATATGATATGATTATATTAAAAACTAAAAATAATTTTTTATCAAATAAAATATAATTAATGACCTCTATAAGTTTTATACCAATTTAATGATAATTTAAATAGGAATAATTTTAAATCTTTCTATTTTTATGTATATAGTTTTTTAAATTATTAAATATTTTTTAATTTTTAAAATAATAAATATATACAATATTCCATTTAGTATTTATTTTAAAAATTAATAAAAACTTATTTAAAAGATTAGTATGAGAATATAACAAATATATTTAAATTTATCAAGTGAAAATACTAATTTATTTAATATTTAAATTAATTTAAAATATTGAATGTATAATGATAATATTTTTTAATTAATAGATTTAGGGAACTTATAAATGTAATCTTTTCTATTTTGATACACCTATTTAGAAAACTATTTTTTATATTAATTTATGTACAAAAACATACAATAAAAATCTATATATAACAAATTATAAAATATTACATGTATTAATACATTAAATGTTATAATTTTTAATGAAAAATATTATTATTAAATTTCTTATTGTATGTCTTTAAATGCAGAAACTGAACAAAAAATTGCGAACTTGTGATACTTGTTTTGTCCGATTAACTAGGCCATGATTTCAAAATTTTAACATATTCAATCAACCAAACAATCAACTACAACAAAGATGGAGTTTGATCCTCCAAACCCAGGATTTCAAATAGTTACATATACACAAGCCAAGAGTGATTCATAATATCACTAATAAAGATTGAAGCTTTCTTCTACTGCAGAAACAAACACTTGAAAGGGAAGCTGTCTGAAAGTAACACAATCTTACACATTTTGACTGCACTATAGATAGAAATCTGAGAGAGTAGATTCCTAATCGCCCCTCCTAAGAGAATCTTTATACCTGTTCTTGACAGATTCATCCTTAGAGTCACCAATAATACCCTCTTTTTCTGCATTATCATATGACTTATCAACTTTCTTACTTGCCACCCCTTCCCTGGCCTTCTCCTCAGCAACTCTTTGGAACTCTTCAGCTGTGGAAGGTGCCCTCTCTTCCATCAAACGACTACGGTTTCCATTGCTTGCTTGCCCATAATTCTGATTCATTCATTCATTCAGTAACAAAAAAAGACTACACTACTTATTGGTCACTGTAAAAACATGTTCATATTATTAATACATAAAATCAATAGTTTTTATCACTCCTATAGGAAACCCTTTATTGCACTTTCAAGTACAACAAACCTTGATTTTCACTTTCAAGAATAGGATCACTCAGAAGACTGAAACATGAATGAAGTTTTCCTTCTCAAACATAACGATTAAAAATTAAAATCCCACTCTTTTTGTTTATCTGATTTAATTTCCTGGTGGGATCGTTCTTACAAAAGAATAAAAATTTGCACAGCAAGTAGCTAATATAAATTAGTAACTTTACAGCAAAAAAGCAAATAAAAGTAGAACTATTGGGATGGAAGTTAAAAGAATAACAAAAACACCCAGAAAAAAAAAACCATAAAAATAAAGGTGATACCTTAATGGTGTTGTTTAAGAATGGTCTATTAGGCTTTCCCAAGGAGGATCTTGAAGTGGCATGAAGAAGAGAGTGGAACTGAGCACCAGACATGGTTCTTCCTTTCCAGAGGGAATGTTAAAGAGAAAATATTGCAATTTGAGTTGAGACACTTTAGCTGTGGTGTCGGTTTAAATAAAAAACAAAAGGACAAGATTGCACCTTAACTTGATGCAGATATCCATTTATTGCCATTTGTTAATGCTAATCCAATAAATCTATCTACACCTATAATTAAAATTAATTTTACTTATAACTAAATTTAGGTGTAGTATTTTAATTCTTTTTAATATTATTTTTACTTAAAAGTTAAGAATTTTATTTTATCAATCAATTTTAATTTTTATTATATATTATTAAAGTAAAATTATAATTTTAATAAAATGATAAAATTTAAAATATTATATCTAAATTTGATTAGACTCTTAGCATGATTAACCCTGAAAGCTATGTTCGGTTTTTAAATATTACTTTTAACAGAAAAAGTTGAGATCTCTAATGGGTCGTATTCATATGTGATCAAGATAATTCCTTTTCACGAGTTAAAAATATTGAATTTTTTTTTGAATATTCTACATTTATCTATCACCAATGATTGCATGAAATACTTTTATACAAATGAAATAATAAAAAGATTTTTTATGTTGCAAGGCCTTGGGTTTGCTTCACTCCAAACGATTTCTTACTCTTAAAAGGAGCAAAGGTTTTTATTATTATTTTAACTATTATTTTTCAAATATATATTATTATTCAGTTTAATTTTTGTGCATAATTTCTTTAAATATTAACTCTTCTAAAAATCAACATCAATATTATTAGAATTTAAAACAAACCTATGCGGGAGTCTCCCACGTGTTATCATATTTGATTTTTTTTTTAACGGGGTAACGGTTTATAATAAGTGTTTTTTTTAACTACAAATATACTATTTTATGTATTTAATTTTATTCAACTAAATGATTTGAGTTGAATCAACCGAACTTAAAGAGTATAATTTTAATTATTATTAATATAAAATTTTTATAATTGTTAATTAATTAAAATATACATTAAATATAAAATATTAACTTTATCTTTAAGATTCATTTTAAAAAAATAGCATGCTTTTATTTTTTAAAAAATTATAAATTTAGAGTATAGAAGTACTATTTTTTAATAAATATATTATTTTTATATGTTTAAATTAAAAAACCAAGTTAGTAAAATTATTAAATTAATCATAATAAAAATATCTAATTCTGAATTTTTACTTATACATAATGCATGATTAGATAAGTGTATACAAACTTTGATTGATGTTAATATATTTAATTAAATTTTAATTGTAATAGATAACTACAATAAAATTTTATTTCGTTAGATAAAATCACTTACATAATGATATGACGTACTGAACTCAATTTAAAATCAGCAAATTATAATTTAAATATGTAAAATTAATATTTTTATATACTCCAAAGTTAATAGATTAAGTTAAAATTACTTTTTAATAACAATATCCAAACATGAATTAGATTTTATCTCAATCAATTTTTATAATAAATCCAGATAGATTTTTCAAAAATTGTCAAACGAAAACAAAACAAAAATTTTCATAACTTTTTTCAAATATTCCAATCCAAAGAAACGCTTATCCGAAATTGAGTTTTGAAACAGCGGCAGTTACAGCTAGAAAACCCTGGTTTTGTTTGGTGTTGGGCGTTTGCTCAGAGCAAAGATCGAACACTGACTTTTGGTCAACAGAGTCTATTTTGCTTGGGGCTATGTCGGCGTCTGAGATTCTTCGTGAACTCAATTCACTGAAGAACGAAAAGACCAAAATCGAACATAAAATCTCAGTGCTCGAAGCTCAACTCAGAGATATTAATCTCCAAAACGACGCCGTATCCGATGATGGTTCTTCATTGTACCCTACAAACGGATTGACACGTGACATGATCCACAGATACAGTCGCCATCTCATGCTTCCTTCCTTCGGTGTTCAAGGTCTTCTCTTCAACATTTTATATCTTTATATATATCATGCAAATTAACCCTAATTTAATTTAAATTCATTAGTTAAAGTATGTTCGTTGCAAATGTAAGTTGAAGTGTTAAATATAGTTAGTTCTAAGTAGTAACCTTAATTATCTTTTACAATTGCATTTTCCTTGTGTTTTTTTCAGTGGGAAAAATAGAGCTATATTCTGCATTCGTATATGATTTTTTTAGTCTTAATTTTGTTTTTCCACATTGTTGTGTGTATGGAGTGCAGGGCAAGCAAATCTGTTGAAGTCATCAATTTTAGTTGTGGGAGCTGGAGGATTGGGTGCTCCTGCATTGTTATACCTTGCAGCTTCTGGTGTTGGTAAAATATGGCACTTATAATCTTTATTGCATTAGACTATTCTTTTCTTGGAGCTTACACTTTTGAAAATCTATATGCAGGGCGCTTGGGTATTATTGATCATGACGTGGTTGAGCTCAATAATATGCATAGGCAGGTGAGATTTTGTCTTTTTAAACCCTCTCACCTTTTGATGTGGCAGGTGTTACACGTATCTTGTGTGTTGTTGTGTTTGTGTCTGGCAATGGCCTTTTGAGTGATTACTTTTGCGAGTACAAGTTGTTAACATGTGCCTTGCATTTTGTGTTTGCGTTAATTTACTGAAATTTTTCGTAACTTTGCAATTGTTATTATTTTCAACTCATTTGTGCTGTATTTCAGATAATCCACACGGAAGCATTTGTTGGCAAGCCGAAGGTCAAATCTGCTGCTGCAGCTTGTCGCTCGTATGTTGCTCTCTCACCTCTCGTCACATTAATTTTCATGGAGAAAATGAAAATAAATCCTCATGTGAATTTTATCTTTTCAAAATTTTGTTATATTTGTATCAATGTTCTCGGAACTAAGATGTTTTTAATATTAGGATCAATTCTTCTATTCAAGTTGTGGAATATGAAGAAGCTTTGCAGAATTCCAATGCTTTGGAAATTTTCAGCAAGTATGCTTTCTATTGTAAATATGATCTTTCTTTTTGCTTGATGCCTCTTCTTCTATGCTTGCCGTATCCGTTTCACTTTGAATATTACCACTGACCATGTGATTTTTTTATTATGTGAATTTGTTAGATATGATTTAATAGTAGATGCAACAGATAATGCTCCTACCAGGTACTTGATCAGTGATTGCTGTGTGGTACTAGGAAAGGTAAATCTTAATGTTTTGATGTATGAACAAATTGTGACCATTTGAATTGATGTCTACGTGTCTTTTCCCTTGTTACTTAAATTTTTTGGTTCCTTCATGAATGCACTTTCTGAGTCAGCATTGGTTTTAGTGTTTGATTCATTAAAGTGTGCAATACCTATATTAATTCAACAAGAAGGAAGTTCTGTGTGGGTCCTATGTGCTTCTTGATACCTAAAAAAAATTTCAAAGTGTATCTGCTGAGTTATTACCCCTAAAAATCTTTGTGCAATTGCTCTCTCTAGGCATCACATTTTTTAATTCATTGTAAATTTGAGAAGCTATGTATAATTATATGGCTTTCTTATATTCCATTCAGTTAACCATTTCTTTTTCCTTTTGTTCCTTATACTTAATTGTTTTCATGTGGTGCAGCCTCTTGTATCAGGTGCTGCATTGGGATTGGAAGGGCAGGTACATGTCTAAATATTTTTTTCTGGCATTTAAGTAGAACGGTGCTTCATTGAGGAACTAGTACTCCTATCCTATGTGCTCAATTATATCACATAAATTTGAGGTATAACCATGGAAACTTATGCTGCAGCTCACTGTCTACAATTACAATGGTGGTCCTTGCTATCGATGCCTCTTTCCAATTCCACCACCTAGAACAGCTTGCCAAAGTTGTGCTGACGGTGGAGTTCTAGGAGTAGGTAAATTTACTAGTGTTTTTGTGAGCTGAATCAGTTTTAATTTTCAGTACTAGTCTCCTAGACATTTATATAAGCATGAACAATGTCAATCTTATGACAAAATTCTTATGCTCGCCTATGTTCATTATGAAGCTGAGCCATAGACTCAGTAATATATACTTCTGTCACTGTTACGTTCACAGCCAACATAAAATTTTTCCTAATCTCATAAATGACAAGCAATTAGGACACTGTGCATATTGCAATTTCATTTTGTTTACCATGGAGTGTACTCTTTAGTAGGACTGTTATGAAAAATTCAACTGGGGTGGAATGTTCAAGTTGTTTCATTTATAATTAATTTAGCCAAACTATGAATTACTGGATTCTGGGCTTTATATCATCCATGTGTGTGATTGTAAATATTTATCATTCAACATGGGTTACTTCTGACTAGAATCTTTTTATTTTATTTTTCCTACTCTTACCATTTGTTCTGGTTTTCTGACGTTTGCTCTTAATGTTTTCAGTTCCTGGTATAATTGGGTGTCTCCAAGCTCTCGAGGCTATTAAGATTGTAGCTTCTGTTGGTGAACCACTCTCAGGAAGGATGCTTCTCTTTGATGCATTGGCTGGACGAATTCGTACTGTATGTTAAAAACTCCACAACCTTGCTTATTGTATGTTATAGTCATTATTTTTTGTATTGCCCAGGAAGATGGAATTAAGATGGAATTGAGAGGATAGTAATGGATGATTATTTCTGAGTAATGCAGTATGGGAAAGCAGTGTTAAGATTAAGGATTAATCTCATTTGTCTATTAGGATTTTATAAGTGGGCCATCTATTAGTTGTTTGATTGTCAGGATTTTCTTATATATTAGGATTTTATTTCAAACAATTAGTTGAATAAAAAGTTAGGGTTTTGTATCCTAGTGGTGTTAGGACTATTAGGTTAACATTTTTCCCACTCAAGGATGTGTGCCTTAAATTCTCTTTAGAGGAATTGATACTATTGAGAGATTCTCCTCAATCCTCATTCACACTAATTTTTCTCTAAATTATAATTATTGTCCTGCAGACGATTATTTCTTTTAAAAAATTCTTATAAGAAATTGTTTATCAAACTGACTGTCCAAAATTAAACTGAGACTTGTTAGTTCCAAATCATAATCGTTATTATGCTGTCCCAAAGTAAATATATAATGGATAAAACCTCATTTTTTATCAGAATATTTTCCCTGCCAAGGATAGACATTGAATATACAAAGTCAACAATTTATATAATGATTTTGACCATGGTACGATAGCAAGATCTTGTATATTAGATACTGATTATGTTTTTATTGCACAGGTCAAAATTAGAGGAAGGTCTGTGGAGTGTAAAGCTTGTGGAGAAAATGCTACATTTGCCCAACAGCAATTCCGAGAATTTGATTATGAGAAGTTCACTCAGACTCCCTTGCGTGTGGTATGAAATCGTTACTCTTGCCTTGAGCTTCTACCTCCGTTGTATTTAAATGAGATTGTTTCAAGTTATGTATATTTTTCATCTGCACTTTGTGTTGGATGAGATTGTTGGAGATCAAATTCCTCCCAAAAGCCTACAAAATTGTCTTCGAATATATTATTTTGAGATTTTCAATATCATTAATGCATTCCACGCATATGCAGCCTCCTGTGAAGTTAAATCTACTTCCCAGTGAATCAAGAATCAGCAGCAAGGAATACAGTGAAATAATTCTTAAGAAGGAACCACATGTGCTGGTTGATGTTAGACCGGCTCACCATTTCAAGATTGTATCTCTCCCGAAGTCCCTTAACATTCCACTCTCAACATTAGAGGTTAGGTTGCCGGAAATATCATCAGCTTTGAAGAAAGAGGAAGAGGACAGTGGTGTGGTTTCTGGATCAAGTGCACAATTGTATGTAGTATGCAGAAGGGGAAATGATTCTCAAAAGGCTGTTCAGTATCTTCAAAAATTGGGTTTCACTTCTGCCAAGGATATTGTTGGGGGCTTAGAGTCTTGGGCCCACAATGTGGATCCTAAGTTCCCTACATATTAGCAGGCCTGTTTAGCTATAGAAAAAACGGGTTTCATTAAATTATACTCCTGGCTTGAATTTGTTTTGATGTATTATACTAGGGATGCTGCTTTCATTTTTCCATGTCTTTTTATATTATTCACGCAACTTTTTTTTTTTTTTTTTTTTGTGTAATCTATTGACGTTACTCTTGACGTTGAATTGCTGTAGAATGATGTGGTCTATTCATTTTTCCAAGTTTCTTTCATTGGTTACAGTTAAACAAATCAGAGGGTATTCCCGTTGTCGCAGCAGTTGCCAATAATAGTTCCTTCATGGAGCTTATTTACTAACCAGCGAACTCTCCTTGTAGAAGTTGGGTTCAATAATATATAAAGAAATCATAGTTTTTTCAATTGGGTCTCTATTTTTCGAATAAAATTGGTAAATTTTCCTAGTTGATAACATAAAATAATAAATACTTAATGTGTTGGCTGGCCCGACTTTGGGTTGAGTGAAATCAGGTTGAAAAACCGTGGGCTTAATTACTTTTTCTAAAACAATCCAGTTATTTTTTCGAGGTATTTGGATCAGAAGCCCTTATCGAATTGAAGTTCGGCACTGAATGAAAGGGTCTACGTAATCCGGCAAAAGTTTTGACCATGAATTAATAACACCTCACCAAATTTGAATGAGTTAGTAACACCTGACCCAAAAAAATAGAATGTTAATAACACTAGTTCGTTGTAAATTTGTTTTTTACTATGCGATATCGATTTATAATTTCATGAAGTATTATGATGCCCATTTCTAAACAAAAAAAATCCCGGAAGCTTAACATAAATTGGTGTCAATAAAGGTAAAAAATCACACTTCGACGGCGTGAAAAATTTAATTTTCAAAAAGATTATTTATTATTATATCTTGTAAATATTATTATGCATTAATGAAGAATAACGAAAAAAATAATTATATACTCGTTTTTAAGATGCATTAAGAGTTTATATCATGCAGTAATCATATATATTAGGCAGAGAACACGTGGCATCTCTGATGCTGACCATGTGCCTTGTGATTGACGGAACAAGAAACCTTGGAATTGCTCTTACTAACCAAGGCAACCAAGTCAAAGGCAAGCCCATTCTACATGCTCAAGGTACCAAGTCAAAAGCAACACTGCACAGCACACATTGTGCATTTGAAGGGGAAAAAACTTGCAATTAAAAGGTAATTTTACTGATGTAGAAAGGAAATTTATTTATTTATTCTCTCTTACACTATCTGCAACGCCCATGTGGATATTTGACATTAGATCATCCTATTCACTTGGAACTGTGAATGCACCCTTTACCAACCAAGAAGCAATACCTTTAACAGAGCCATTCGAATATATAAACCATTCTTTGCCTGCCTAAAGTAAGCAGCTCTTGGATCAGCATCAACATCCACTGTGATCTGTATGAAATTAAGGGACCAATTTAGTTTATTTAATCTTAATGCTTATGTTCATAATGATAGTACATATATCACATGACATGGCAATATGTGCTGCTTACTTCGTCAAGTCTTGGAAGAGGGTGCATAACCACAGCATGTTTTTGCATCACCTTTAGAACATCTTGATTTACAATATACTTGCCTCTTGCCTCTTCATAAAGGTCAATTTTCTCTCCAAATCTTTCCTTTTGAATGCGGGTTTGATAAACCACATCACACTTAGAAGCCACTTCCATCAAATCAGAACTTTCTTCCCACTCCACTCCCTTTGATGTTAGGTAGTCTTTTATGTCATCCTATAGAAAAAATAAATTCCATCACTAATTATGTCCTGAAACTTCTCAAACATCTTATCCTGTTCATGAAATAACAACTAGTATTGCCACATTTACCTTCATTTTAACCACATTAGGAGAGACAAAATAAAATTTCAAATCTTGATACTTGGCTAGTAAGTATGCGAGTGAGCGAACTGTCCTCCCATTAGCAAGGTCTCCCACAAGCCCAACTCTAATTCCGTCCAGTTTTCCTATCTCTCTTTCAATGGTATAAACATCTAGCAGTGCCTGAGCAGTTTGAAAAAACAGAGTTTTGAAACACAAAATAGTACCATTCATTTGCCATTCAAATTATTAGAAATATAGTAGAATGCATAAGCAATAGATAAAAGGTCACAAAAATTCATCTGATTAAGTGTAAATGAAGCATACATGAAGGTATGAACCTAAGAAAATACAATATACATGAAGGTGTGAACCTAAGAAAAAATTTATACTTTTAAGTTACTTTCAGGTGGAAAAGTCTATAATATGTCCCAATTGGCTAGGAAACAAGTGCGTACTCCAGATATACCCAGGAAATTACCATCTCAATTCTATACATCATGTGTTTCACTAGAAAAATAAAACCATATATTTTAATTTCAGTAGTTCAACTAGTTTTTGACATCTATCTCTAACTTTGTATATCAGCCACTGAAAATAGTGTTCTTCTGCTTAACTGAGGAAAAGACAATTTCCTGAGTGGGAGTCATAAGGTATGATTCATAAATGGACCAAATTTACACTACTGGCATGGATCATTGAAAATCCTTCTACCTCATCAACTTCCTGTCAGAGATTAAATGAAGAAGTAGATACTCTTTATGTTTCAATACACTATGACTACATTAGCAGAATATTGGGTGTTGTTTAAAACTTAAAAGGTTTTTGTGACAAGGTAACACACTTCACCAAAAATTTGTAATATTTCCTTAAGAAACAAGTCAAGGCAACAAGTTTGATGTGGTGCACAATGCTAATTCATGGCTTTAACAAAAGGAGGGCTGTAAAGCAAATACCACAAATGCAAATTATGTGGTCCAATTTATGCAGTTTAAAAGTACTGTATGTAGTTAGGGTGGAAGAAGTAATCATCTTATGGTAATATATAGGCAACATTATTAATGGAGCATCAAATTTCTAAACTATCCAGCAGCAAATTCGTTCATACCTGGGAGGGATGCTGTCCAGGACCATCCCCTGCATTGATCACAGGAATGCTAGCAGTCGCTGCAGCTCTTCTGGCTGCGCCGCTTTCGAAGTGCCGCATTACAATTATATCAGAGTAACCTTCAACAGTCCTTATAGTATCTGCAAGAAGCAAAGTTCCATGAAAGTCCAATTTTTGATAGAACAATGAAATAAACCCACAAATAAAAAAATTCGCATTACTAATTGAAAGGACGTGCCTTCCAGTGTCTCTCCTTTAGCAGCAGAGGAAAACTCCCTTGCATTTTCAGTTGTCAAAACATCCCCACCTAATCTTTTCATGGCAGACTCAAATGAAAGCCTAGTTCTAGTGGATGGTTCATAAAACAAGGTAGCCATGAGGTAACCCTTCAGCATTTGGCTACCAGGTGAGTTACTTTTAATCTTCTCCATACTCCTTGCAACTTCAAATATTGCATTGAGAGTCTCTCGGTCAAATTGCTGAGCCTCAATCACATCATCAAGTTGAAATTTTTGCCCCACAGAGAAGGAGGGTGCACTTTCAACTTGAACAGCCCCTGCCCTATGCAGAATCTCATCCCCCCTGTAAGAAAGTTTTGATTTTTTCAAAAATCCAGCATTCCCAGATGATGTTAACTTCAAAAGATTCCATGGCTGATTGAGAAAACAACATGCATAAGATTTTGCAGCCACCTTGGGATGAGAGACACCCGCATGCATAGAACATGAGAATAACAAAGAAGCAGCACTCATTGTGTTCTATTGGAGTTGCTGCACAAAACAAAATCCTTATATGTTATTACAGAGGCACATAAAAACCATTAATTTAACACTGAAATTTCAAAAACTTCATATTTAAATATAGAAAGCAAGAGGACATGAAAGTAACTTAAAATGCAATAATAATAATAATTAAAAAAAAAAAGCCTAAAATAAAGTAAACTGCTTTGAGTGGAATCACTTTTTTCTATGCCAAGAAACAAGACGAATAGTTTGAGCATAAAGGTATATGCTTAAAAACCACGCTTCAGAAGAGACGGCGGTAGAATCCAGACCAAAAGCACTATTGAGGATCATAAGAGAAGAAGAAAAAAAATAAAAAAATAGAGGAGGCAAGAACAATCCAAAACTGATTTTTTTGAAACAACAATGAAAAGTTTTGAGTTAAAAATAGAATACCCTGAAGGTTCTTTGTGGAGAATGAATAGCTTTCTATATTGAAGGCAGACAACGGCTACAAAACAGCGTTTCCACCGTGCAAGAAGCAAAATGTATCACTGTCAGTATATATATGCCATAAGAGAAGACGACTTGGTTAACATTTTGTTTTTCAATAACGGGCCAAAGGTTGTGATGTCTCCATTCTCTTTCTTTTGGGCCAGTCCTGCCTTTTCTTTTGAACAGTTCATTTTCATTGTTCTTTTTGATTAATTTAAATCTGTAAAATAATTTTAAATAACTAAAAATTAATATCATAGATAATATTGTATATAATCATTTTTATTTTTAGCATACACATATATACAAAATACACCTAAAATATAAAGAAAAAAGTTGTACAAAAACCATTTTTTATTTTTAAAAATTATAAGTGATCCGATAGTTTTGAAGATATTTTTATTGAATCTCTTAAATCCTATATATTACTAGGGATTATTTTTTTTTAATCATAAATACTTATTTATACTTTTTATATTCAAATACTCAAATAAAATTTGGCTAAAAAAATTGCCAACCTTAAGATCAGAAACTTCTCGTTATAGTTCAAAACTTTTCCCGTGCACGTTTAAAAGAACCAAATTTTGTAGAGCCTGCTTTGGCCATTTTAAAGAGTTAAAAACACGTCATATATATTTGTACAATATAGATCATAATGCTAGCAAAATGTTATGGTAATAAGATACTATATTGGATAAAAGTTCTAAAATAGAACGCATAAATACTTTTATTTTGCGGACTCCGGTAAATTTTACAACTGCCTTATTAACTCTTCAACCTGAAGCTTATTAGTTTCAAATAATGAAGATTAATATAGTGATTCATCAATGTAAGATCCTTTGTACTCAAGATATTTATGACTAGAAAACAAAATCTACCTGTCTTGGATATTAAAAAGATAAACTAAAACCGGTTTCCATAGAAAATGATACCAACAAAACTAATTAGTCTCATGCATTATTGCACTGCTCATCTCCACTTGTATTATTGGTGCCATTGATGGTTGAATGTGAACTTCCAATGATAGATGTTAAAGCTGCCACAAGAGCTGCAGTTAAATTTGGATCTGCTGTGATAGCAGCACTAGCTGCATTGAATGTGTTAGCAAATGAGGAAGTTGTGTCCATTCCTTGAGACTCATGTAAGCCAGAAAACTTAGTTTGATCAGACAGTGTCTGTCCAAATAATTTTGGAACTGATGCAAAATTATGAGCCAAAATTGGAGTTAGAAGGTTAAGTTGGTTCTGAGGTTGTTCCCTTTGAAGCTGTGACGAATTGGAAGCATTTTGAGTGAGATCAAGTGTGATGGTAGGAAATGGGGCTGAGGCAGAAAGAGTAGCCATGTTTTGAGAGCATGGAAGTGCAGCACTTTCTAATATGCTTGGATTAATTAGGCCATCTGAGCTTGGCATTGATCCAGAAAGAAGCATTGAGGCTGCTGCAGATGTTGTTGAAGCCATTGCTTGAGCCGTAGGAGGGAGTGGATGGTTATGCTGCCCTTCATATGTAGTAATCAGCACACTTCGATCTTCAGCACACCTTTGTACCTATAAATTAGAAACATAAAATCCATCCGTTGGTGCTCAGTTTTAGTATTTGGGCAATTGAAATTTGTGACATTATATATTAGTAATTCTATTTCTCACTTATTTTTTATATCTCTCCCTAAGAACATTTTCCTTCATTATAATGTTCATGTTAGGGACAAAATGTAATCCTTCCCAATGTCATTTTAACCATTAGCCAACTAGCCAAGTTTCATCATCCTTCAAGATTTCTTAGAAAGCACCTGAATAAATGATCCAGGTTCTGATCGCTAGGTAGTCATGGTCACGTTTAAGCTATCATTTTCGAGCGTATTATGTGCCTTGTAAAACATAATGAAAAAAAGAACATGCATGCTTCTAACCTAATAATAATTAAATTAGTTGATCTTGAGATTGGAAAGGGATCAATTGCCAAAAGAGAAATTCTTGTATAGATCTAAATGTACTTGACTTGGGGTGCATTAAACTAGCTAGTAAAGTATTTACATTTCACTGATTTCTATTAAATAAATTGTATATTCACCAATGTATTACTAATAATGTTGCAATTTGCACTCAATTAATGCAAGAATTTCGCAACAAATTAAGTTTTAATTTCTCTTTCTATCCACCAGCAGTTTCTTGTTTCCTAACACCGAAAAAGAAACGCAAAGGAGAGTAAATTTTAATTTGGTAGAATGCATACTTGTTTGCGTACTGGACAACCAGTACTCATTGTGCAACGATAATAAGCTCGTGGACAAGGATTCCCTTTCGCCATCTTTTGCCCATACTTCCGCCATTGGCATCCATCTGCAATCTTTATAAAATATTCCATCCAACGTAAATTGACAACAGTGTAGTTTCATGACACACAAGAAATTAAGCTATGCAACATCACATATATAAATTATATCCATTTTCATTTTAGAAGTCACCTTGCTCACTAGTTTATTTCAATTTTCTGTTTCGATTCATATTTAATTAGTCATAAATCTACATTTATTTTAACACTTATAAATTATAATTTCTAGGTAACTTGATTTTGAAAAATATTCAAATAAGGTCCCAATCCCGAACATTCTATTAGTTGATTTTACTAACAACAATGATATTCATATATACACTCATACCTCCCTCTTTCTTTCACTTCATCTCTCTCTTTTTGTCACATTATATTGCATATTCACATCTTTTATTTTTCTTTCATTCTTTTTATCTAAGGCTAGGTGTATATGTTATTATTGGAGATCAAAATTAACCTGCATTTGCCAATATATTTAATTTTTTATAGTTTACTTACCATTGAAGAATCTGATCTTGCTCGAACTGATACACGAGCTTTCTTGATCATTGACATGGTTTCTGATGCTTGATCCAACCTAGGAACTTTGTTAGAGAGGCACCCTGAAGGGATTAATGCTTGGTCAGCGTGAGAGTGCTTCTCTTCCATTCTGGCTTTTGAAGATTCCTTTCCAGAATCCACCTTATCTGGCTCCAAAACAGCAATATCTTGTCCCTTGCACTGATCCATCAAATCAACCATACTTTTGTTTTCTCTCAGTTTTACCCCTGGAGATTGCTGGGAATGGGAAGGCTCATCCTTCTCAGCAACACCCATCTCTAAAAATGGCCTTGCAATCAAATCTTCTTTCTCCTCATTAACTCGGTTGTTCTACACAAAACCAAATAAACACACAATTACATTTTTTCAGCTTTGGATATATATGAACATTTCTGGAATTAATTTGTTTTCTATTCTAACTCAAGAAATTTAAGATGGATATGCTACTTCATATAAATTAATTCATAGATTCCACTACTTATTCATGGGATTCCTTTGATATTCAGTAAGCTAAAAAAAGAAAAAGAAAGAAGAAAGAAGAATTACGTACCCCATGGCTACGCTGCATGTGTGTTAGCTTGATAAGTTGCATGCGTAGGACATTGTAGTTGTTGTTCACCTGATCAATCGTATCTCTTAAACGTTGATTTTCAGCATTCATCTGTTCCAATTCAGCTAGCAAATCTACAAACTATACACATACAAATAATCATAAATTACTTTATTATATATATATACATCATTAACGTGCTACCTGTTTGATAAAATTATATAAATAAAATATACATATATATCCAAGACATGCACAAATTATCGTACCTCATTTTTCTTATCATCCATAGTCTCCAATCCCGCATCTTCCCCTGATGATTTGTTGCCACCGGTATTCTTCGTAAGAAGATCTAAACTAGTCTATAGATTAACAACAAGAACAGAATAATACATTTAAAAATATAGTTAAGATAAAAGTTAAAAATAATTAAATCTAAGGAAATGTAAGAGTTTCCTACATCTACATGAACATTCTCCACACTATGCTCCATTGGATCATCATCTTCACTTTCTTTTTTCTTCTCAGCGAAGAAATCATGCTCATCCATGACAAGGGGTTTCCCTCTAAAGGACATGACAGGATCAGAAGAATGTGCGACAGTAGAATTACCCTTCACAATGGCATCATTCCAAGTGGGTTCCATGTCAATCATATAATATATACTACGTTTTGGAGCAGTCTTATTATGTGTTAACTGTGCTTTGGGAGGAAGAAAGTTGTTGGATGAGTATCAGAGAAGAGTCCCCTACATGCATGTGCCCACAAATTATTAAAGAGAGAGAGAGAGAGAGATGCAATGGACTCGGCAATAAAAAATGGGTTTTGACTAAGACCAAATATTACGTGTGAGAAGAACGAAACTGATTATTGGGAAAAGATTTGAGAACTGAGGTAAGATGGTGCGTAAGGGCCCACGTGGCAGTTTTCTAAAGGTCTACAAACTGAAAAGACAGGAACGAGAGAAAGAGATTTTGACTTATAAATTGTTAGCAGCATTCAAGATCCAACAACATTTCTTTTTTATTTTAATTTTCCTCAATCTTTCATGTATCTTTTTTTAATGGCTTCGTTAAATTGACTCTATATGTAAACGTAAAAAGAAAAAGAAAAATTTGACTCATTTGTGATGGTTAATCCATCTCCTTGCATCAACTGCAAGCAATACTGGAAGTTTAATTTGAGAATTTCTCGGGTCAATTTACTATGCATTTATAAACCATATCTCTTCCTACTAATTAATTACGAAAAGAAGACATATTTAATCAAACAGATAGTTCCCTTTTCATTTAATTTACGGAATGCATAATCGCTGGTGATAAATTATTAAAGGTATGGATTTGTGTTTTGTCGACTTTTCCCTTTTAATTTTTTCTGAGTGCTTGTTCATAATTTGCTCAAGATATAAGAGAATATATGTATAACATGTAATTAGCTGTGGTTACAAATTAGTTTATAAAAAAAATTGAAAGTTGGTGATATTAGAACATGGCTAAAGGAGTTGGTAGCACCACATTACAGAAGAGGAAGGATTCAACACAAACGTTGTCCATGACCTTGATACTTGATTGTGCTGGTCTACAGAATTTAATGTGTCTTCTTGCACTGTAATATCGCCAATTATTTTTTAATATAACAAGTTAGGATACATGTATTTCCTATGTTTTTAATGCAATATAATATCAATTCTAATATTAGAAATTTAAAATTTTATGTGTCTGAGGCCTGGTTTTATAATACTCACACTTAACTCACACTTCTTTGTTTCCTTATCCGGTATTAGAAAAATAACGCGCATAAACAATTTTATCAAGAAAAAGAAGAGAACGCAAACCATAGCAAGTTATAAGTCAACATATTGACTCCAAAACTTGGTTAATCAATATTTACTAAATACAATATTTTTTTTTATCTCCTTTTACTTCATATTTTTCTCAATTCTTTCTGTAACATATTTCACTTTCACTCTGCTTTTCTTTTTTCCTTTACATTTTACTTTCTTTTTTAATTTCTATCTTCCTTTTTTTCCCCCGTTGTATTACCCTAAAATTGAAGTATATGCCAAACAATAATAATTATTTGTACATGTAGTTTCATCTGCTTCCGCCTTATTCCTTTTATCTTTTTCTTTTTATCATATTTTTATTTTCTGATTTCTCTATTCTTTCTGCCTCATACACCAAAAAATGGGATATACAGTGAACACTATTCAATCAAAATGGATTTATGGTATGTACCTAAAAAACAAAAAGGATTTATTATGAATTATTTTGAGTTTTGATTTGTGTTTCGGACACAACGTTGTCACACATCTTTCACGAGGAAGAGGTGCTCGAAATCCAACTTTGTTGTTATTTCCACATGTTCAAATAATGTTTTTGTGTAAAGAAGATGGCAACTTGGGTCTTTTTGTTTCGGTTTATCTTCGACCATAATAATTTGCATAGCTGCTATTGATTAACTTCTGAGCCACAGTTGCACGATGTATATTGAAAATCTAATCATATGAAAATCATAGATTTTATAGGTCAAATAAAAGGATGGGTTGGATCACTTGACTGCTTTTATGCAGCTTTGTGGTTGGTTCCAACTGTTCAATTTGTTTGTTGAAATTTCTATAACAAAGGGACATGCTTTGTATATATATATGCATGCCAGCGCAAATGGTTGAAAACTGAGGCATAGTAGGGTTACTTTTTGTTTGAAATGCAACAGATGGAAACTCCGGACTCTAAAAAGACAAATCAAGTTTCGGTTTAACGTTATCTGTTGTCAACACGAGAAATCAAGCCAAAGGACATCTAGTCCTGATTGTTGATGTGCGCAGAATCTATTGGATCTTACTTTGCCCTAATTAACTCTGGGCTCTTATTTTTGTGTATTTTTGTTAATTTCAATCTTAAAGGTTTAGGCATCTAAATTTTTTTTTTATTAAAAAAAATATATTTATTGTATTAGAGTTATAAAAATATAATAAATGCACTTTTTAAATAAAATCTTACAATTATTAAATTTTTAAATTCAGTTGCGGAAAGTTAAGATTTTTTTTATTTTTATACAGATATAATACAAGTCTTTTTATATACTTGTATCATATCTTTATTTTTTTTAATCTATTTTTGTAATCACATTCATCACTTATATTGTTAGTTTATTTTTGTTGAGTTTTTCTATCTTTCATCAACAATTGTATACAGGGTTTTTTTTTTGTGAGCTTTCAAGCGAAATCTCGGCCTACCATTTACTAATAGTAGTATCAGAATTCAGGCGAAACTGTATGCTTGCAAAGTTTAATTAAAGTTTGAGTTTATCTAATTCCTCTTCCATATGTGTAGTATACCACAAAAGGGTCTCCCAAAACCCATTTCTAGGTTAATATAGTATTAGACGATTGATACACAATCTCTTGCTTGCAGCCAATACTTCATTCAATTTATAGGCAAGACCAAACAAAGGGCTAGATAACTACAAAACGAGGAATTATCAAAGCCAAATTATTTCTGCCTGATGTAACCATAGAAATCTGATATTACTATGAAGTAGAAACAATACAGTTGTCAGACTCGTGTAAAGCATTTACAAGTTAGCCATCAACATGGCTCGGATTTTGGCTCTAAGTTCATCAGAAACATCAGTTATTTCAGGTGATTGAGATGGTGCCCTTTCATGGTGATCCGACTTGGATAATCCCGCAGAAGCCTCCCTGCTAGCACGTCCAACCTCAGTTACTATTGACTTATCTGATTTCATAATTATCTCGCCCTCCTCCAGGTCAGTTTCTCTTTCAGCATGAGATTTGCTCTTGTGCTTTACACTTCTGCTTCGATACCTATGCTCAGCATCAGACGAACTAGACTGCTTATATGAATGCCGAGAATGTCTATGTTCATGCTCTGATATGCTATTCTCTCTATGTCGTCGTTTAGAAGAATGGTGCTTTTCATCTGAGGAGCTATCATATTTATGATGCTGCCTTGAGTGTTGATGTTCATCATCAGAGGAGCTGTCATGCTTAGTACCCCTGTGAGAATACTTGTCTTTAGAGGAATGTCTTCTCTTGTGCTTATGCCTGTCCCGACTGCTGTGTGAAGATCGATGAGAACAATGCTTTTTTCTAGATCGTTTGCGATCCCTTTTATCTTCTTTATTTTCTTCTTCTTCTTCCTCCTCTTCATATCTACCAGACCTTGAACGGTAACTTCTTTTCGATCGTCGTTCATTATTATCAACAGTAAGTTTCTCCTCGGACTTCTGACTTTTATCCGAATTATCCACTTCAAATGGAACAGAACTTCCTTCCCTTTCTTTAACCACAAGATTCCTAGCCTCAGCATCAGAACCAGAAAGTCCAGAGCCTGGTGGCTCAACTGATAAAGCTCGTGGCAGTTCACTTTTAAATGTTCCAACACCACTTTTTAGCATGGCTGCAAACATCTTTGCTCGTTTCAATCTCTCAGCCTTAAGTTTTTGCTCTTTAGTCATATGTGCTTCAGAGGAGTCCGCCTCACCTGCTGCTGCAATAGCTACTTTTTCTGCGATAGCTTTGGCAACAGGAGCAGAGGCACTAGCCTTTGCAGTCAGATTAGAATTTTCAACCAAACCTTGAGGTTGAGATGAATACAGACTCCCAGAGCTGGACAAATACCCACCATCACTTCCAAGGCCTTGACCACTACCACTTGATGTCTTGGTAAACAATTCCACATTAGGCCTTTTAATACCCCTAGTGGCAGCCTGAAGAATAGCTGCTGCTGCTGCTGCATCCATGCTAACTGTGTTCTGAGCTTGGCTGTCTTTGGTAGTTGGATCTTGACCATCCTTCTTTGACTTGCCAATAATCATCTTGAACTTCTCTTTTCTGTCCATATCATGCGGTAGATCAGAAGCCATAGATCCATATGAAAGATTGTCACTTTCTTCATGTACAGCAGTATTATTGTCCACTGCACGACCTACTGGATTGTGCTTCTGGTAGCCCTTGCCCAGTAACTTAGACTGTAAGCAATTAGACATCAGTAAGTAGCAGTTCAAAGCCAAATTTAACAATACCTTAAAGTAAATCAAGTGAAAGTGTCCCAACAAATTCATGGAATGCACTAGGTGCACAAAATGCCTCCAGAACCCAAATCAAATAATTACTTAGATATGAATTTCACGCAGAAGGAAAATCATTGAAAGGCAAAGATGAACAGAAATCACCTTGACTGCTTTGAAAATTCATAATTTATCACAAAGACATGGAAAGACATGGAAAGACATTGCGTATGTGATACAGAGATATATACAAGCATGCATGTCACATGCATACAAATTTGCATAACAGATGGCAATAAAAACATGAGTAGCGACTAATAAGAATAATCAACAGTAAGGAACTGCTAATAAGTCAGCAGCTGATGATGTCTATGAAAGAAATTATGTTTTTGATTTAGAGGGAAGGATTAGGGTAGAAAGCATTCAATCTTTGATGACCTGGATCTTGTCCTAAAAGGTACTAAATTGCATCTAATTTCTCAGGGCGCAATGAATCACATTATCAAACAAAAAAAGTAGGCAGAAAATTTTGATGATTCTGAGACACACACCTTTTCAGCAGTTTGAAGAGCTTTCAGATAGTATGTATGATATCGATTAGATGGCAGAAGAAATGGAAACCTTCCATGAGCACGATCCTGTTCTGCAAGCACAGCCTCAAATTGTTTGCCATTTTTTACAATGAACTCAACTATCTTCTCTATAGCTCTCTTTAAGTCAGACGGAGGTTCAACAACAGGCAGCTCAATCTTAGCAATACTAGGCACAGAAGTCTGTGACTTGTTCTCTGCATTAGACACTGAATCAGTTTTTGCCCTAGCTGCAGTTGCTGTTTTAACAGCACTGATAGAATGGTTCCGCTTTATGACAGGAACTTTTTCTTTCAAAGAGGGTATGGAATTTTTAGGAATGCTTCTATCCTTCTTGGCAGCATCTGAGCAAGATTCTGCTTGTTCTATTCCTGGAGATGCACGAGCACTAACAGTATCAAAAAATCCCTCATATTCTTTTCTCTCGAAGTCATGAGTATTCTCAGTTGTACCATCCTCATCCTCTGCAGATCCATAGGCAGATCCAAGTAAAGACAATGCACCACCTGTTTTATCAAGACCCTGAGTCCTATTCTTGTCAGTGGTTGAATCGCTATCATCTTTGTCAACTTTAAGAACTTCTTGGTGATCAACAAGGAACCTAAAATACGCATGAAGATGATGATCAGGCATCAGGAACCCAAATGTCGGATTATCTCCTTGTTTCACCCTTAGAATAATTTCTGATTGGCTTCCATGTTTGCTGACAAACATTGCCGTCCTTGAAATAATCTGATGAACCTTCTCATTTGGAGGCTGGAAAAGAAAAACAAACAAAAAGTGTTTCTTCATCAATAAATGTGAATTTCAAAACTAGCATGACTAAAAACTTAAAAAGGGTCTGGCCAGGCAGAATATTTATATACATAAAGATCTTATAAACAAACACAAGACAACCTCACATATACTTGGATAATGATAAAGATCAAGAAACAGGACTTTATGAAGACATGTATCATCCCATTTGCTCTCAAGGGGTAAAGAATCAACGAATTTCTATCATCCTAATCCCACCTGCACGGCCCCTTCTCATGACATCAAAAGGAAACAAGGTGCCTGTGAATGGCTACCTTGAGTCACAAGAACTCCATTTATGCTCCGAGCATCTGAAACTTAGACATCGTAAGCCTTAGAATATCATATGTACCCTAGACAATTATCACCTAATCACATTGGTTAAACAATGAAAGGTCAATTAAATTAGTAACATCTGAAAATCACATGATTAAAGTTTACATTAAGACAGAGGTTACTCACCAGGTTATGGAGTAAGCTTTCTGGTACTGGGAAGTTAGGACGGAAACCAGACTCATTATCATTGTCCTTTGTCTCTATAGACACATTAGGATCTTCATATGAAAAGGCAACAGCACGGTAGCTAGCTGAATTCACTGGATCTGAACCATCATCTAAACAAACACAAAAAGGTGACATCTATCGTCAGAATCAGATATAATACTCAACTGCAGTAATATCATCCACCTAAAACAGTAATGGCACTAACACAGAAAAGAAACAAAACATAAATTGAAGCCAGGTGAAAACATCCTTACTTGTATTTTGACACAGGAACTGTAGCAAATTACACCTGCAAATATGAAGATTGTTGTAGCACACAACCACAAACAAAAAAACACAACATAGTCTCAGGAAGAAGTTGGGAGAATTTGTTCCAACATCCACTGAAAATACATTTCACTTGATAGCCATAAACCAACATACACCACCGCCAAGTTGCCCCAATATCTAAACCAATATATTGATTTGTCCAACAAATGAGAACAACTTGAAAACTTATTTGTTTAAAGTTCAATTTTGAGGACGAAATCTATAGTTGTGACTCATTAAAAGCATTTGTGCCATACACACAACATAATATAATACAAAACTAAGATGATAAAAAAAGACTATTTTATAAACCAGAATGTGTTCATCGCAAACCTTTCATCATGTAAGGAAATATTCAAAGCTAAAGCCCGCAAAGAAGCAATAAAAAACAGCAAAACCACATGCTAAAGGTGGCGTTAGCAGCGCGGATCAACAAACACTGTAGCCTTATTAATCAGACTATCTTGCATTTGATAGACTTGTTCTCACTGTAGCCACTATTGGCTTAAGACGAGCTTCAACTCTCAAAAAGTTTTATAATTTCTCTCCAGGGAATAAGATCCAACAAAAAAACGAAATCATTAATTAAGCTTTCAATCTCTTAGCGTTTTGAAAACATCACATAATCTCGACAACTCAACAACAAATACAGTTGCAAATAGAACAGAAACTTATTTAGGAAAATAAACCATAAGAGAATTGATATAAAAGGAACTTAAGTAATAATAAAAGAAAAAAGAAAAGGAATTATAAATGAGATTACCTTGTGGATGTTCGTCGGAAGAAGAAGGGAGATCGAGATAGCGTTGGAAATCAAGGTCTGGTTCAGGATGAAGAGAGCGGCGCTTGGGGCGAGGGGGAAGGGGACCGGAGAGAAGGTGGCGAACATCGTAACGATCGATGGAAAGGGAATTCCATTCCACCAGAGCTTCCGATGAGTTAACGAACGCCGCCATGCCGTCATCGTCGAACAGCATCGCGTGCCGCCCAACCACCTCCAGATCCATCGCTTCTCGACGTTGATGAACGAAGCTCCACTTGGCTAATCACACACACTCTCTCTAAAAATTTAAAACGATGAGTGAGATTGTATTTGTTTGTCGCAATGTATATGAATGAATGAACGAATGAGTTTTGGAGTGCAATTTTAGGATGATTCTGTCTCGGTCCCTCGGAATGTGCCCTACCTTTAAAAGCATGGCCCAAGTTTTTGCTGCATTTCTGGGCCAAACCCATTCGTAAATAAATTGTGTTTGGTCACTGTGTGAAATAATATTAAGGAAATTGCTTTTTTATATATTTTGTGGTTTTTTTGGCACTTTTTCTTATCATTTTATAAATTTGTACAAAAAGTAACATCCTAATAACCATAGTTTAGTCCCCCTTGCACTTCGGTTTCTGTGCTTTTTAAATTTTGAAAGCGGTTTTCTATGCTTTTCATTTCAGTAATGTAGCCCTTTTGAAAAATTAGCTTTTCATTCTGCTTCTTTATACAAATCCCTTTAAAAAAATTTATAATCCAACATAAAATTTGAACTAGTATTAGTTGACCAAAATAAACCTACTATCCACTATTATTATTATTATTATTATTAATCGTGCATTTTTAACTTAAAAATTTAATAATTTAAAATATTAAAGTTATATATTAGTTGATCTATTATTATTATTTATTAAATTTTATTATAAATTATAATAATGCAAGTGAACTTACACAAATCTGCTACCCGCACAGGGTTGAATTTAAGTTGTCATTTTTAAGGGTCAAATAACTCTAACCTTTTGAATCCAACTTGTTGCTCGTATTAGACCAAGTAGTACAAATTAATAACTCTTAACACAAAACCATCATGACAATTGGTTTACAATAAGCAAATTGGCGTTAGCCTAAACTAAAATTTTTAAAGTAAATAATAAATTTAATACAAATAAAACCCCCTCCACTGAAAAGAAAGAGAAAAGTAATGAAAAGGAATGGAAATACAAAAAGTATGACGACGGATGTAGTGGCTCCTTTAACCCAAACGGAGAAAGAACAGATAAAATGAAAATAAAAAGAGGAAGAAAATAAGGTTACAATAGATGTCACAAGTGATCTATCAACCTAGACGAACCCCAATCATACAGAAGTAGACACCATGGCCTTCGCAGAAGTTGGCGATTGCTTGTTTAGAAGTTGAATGGTTGACTGGAGGTATCTGTCTTGGGCACTCAAACACGATCTAGCAGTTTCGATCAGAGTACGGCAAACATACGATAATTCATTGCTTACCTGCCAACAACCAAGAAAGAAACCGTGATTAGAAGACACAAGTAGAATCTGCTTATGATTCAGAAACACACAACTCTGCCAGTTCCAAGCAGCTAAAACATTTACAATTTGTGATTACGAACACAGTATGATGACTTTCGAAAAATGCTGCAAACTATATGATTGCGTATAGGGAACAGTGTTATACATAAATTTCTATTAGCCAACAAAGAATATTTTCACCTGATAATTAGGTTTTTAGTCAAATAACTATTAAACGGTTACCCTGAATGGGATTAAACTCAGGGAGATGCCTGAGAAAAGAGCAACTACCTGTTGATTTAACTACCCATGTCAGGTTAGTACTTCAAAATTGGAAGTAGTTTGCAATGTTTGTCGAGAATTTATAAATGATAATTTGAATTTTGAATTCTCTTTCTTCCTTCACAATTTTTGCCCACATCAATGGTGATGAGAATTGAGTTCAAACAGTTATAGAGCAGCTTACCATGAAAGATGATGCAATACAATTGCAAGCTTCAAGTGCCATAATTCCTCGTGCAGCCTTCATTTTAGCATATTAATCAGTATTATCATAATTGGTCAAATAAATCAACGATATTTGTTAGGCCAAAATGATGATACCTGGGAAGGTTCTTGTTGAACGGCACCAAGCAAGTTCTCAAGAACAAGCCTAGACAAAGAAACGAGTTCTTGGTAGTAAGATGAATCCCCATAATATAACATGTCATTGCCTGGAATCTGGAAAGGAAAAAAAAAACATATTGCTTTTGGATTTTAGATACATAAATCATAAACCGCCAATAGCCAGGAACACTGATTTACAAAACCGTAAACCATTAACCAGTGCAAGTTTGAAAAAACAGGTGAAACACTCGAGAAAAATCTTGGTTAGACACTGCTTATCAGAACTAACATCTCAGACGGACACTATAGTGGAATGAGGATTATGGGCTTATGGGCTTATGGCTTCTCCAGATTATTAGTGACATTGATGGTCAAATATAGATTATCATAATAAAATAGTCTCACCTCCCCACCGCTATGCTCCTGCAATTTGTGCCTAAAGGAAAAGAAAGGCCTTGGCAGGTCAATGCATGAGCTCACAAAGACATTACTGAACTTTGTTGATAAGATAGGAGGCATGGAAAGGATGACAGAGAAGTGACAGGGAACAAAAGAAGGATTCACTAAAGGAGAAGGTCATTACTAGAGCTATGACCATTGAACACCAAAACACGTCCATTACTTTGGATGCAAAACATTAAGAAGATCTTTTCTAAATACTGTCTAACTAACTTCAACATTTTGTTTTGTCCAATTTGGAAGAAGTTCCTTTTAATCAAAGATAAAATACAGAGATGACAGCTGTACCAGTTTATTTGCATGATATGGCAGACTCTTTTGTGATAAAGTTGTCAATAATAATATGATAGAAGAAAAAATCCGTGTCCTCATTTTTGGTTCAAACCTGCAAAGGCTTTCAATCATCAAAAAAGACTCAGAAACGGGAAAGAGAGATTAAAATAACGAGGTAAGTATTCTTACCAAGATTGGGAGCTGATCAATATAAATAAGTTTTTTGGGAAATAGGTGGCTGTGAGACTAAAATTACCTTCATAAAGTCAAAGAAAATCAAAGTAAATACACATATACAAGGACCTAGTATATAAATGTTTCTATTACAGATTTTAATAGTGAAGGTATCCCAAAAAGAGATTTTGATGTTTTTAAGTGAATTAACATGAAAAAAATGAAATAATATTTAACAACCTGGAACCATAATTAAGAAGCCACATAACTTTCTAATAGAAGAAACTAGTCCTTCAACATCAGTTGTAGTTCGAAAGCCTACAAAATCAAGCAAATCACCAGTCAATTGTATTTAGAATCTAAGAATACTATAAAAAATATTCTTTTAGAATGGAAACAAAAACATAATGATATATATAAGCAGCCAAAAGACCGAAGAGAATGACGCTCAATAAAATCCCCTCTTGGGAAAAAAAAATATTGGGTGTCTTTAACATATTGTCGCATTCAATTTTATAGTAGTTGTTTCTAAGAACTATTGCTAGGGTACTTATATTCAGGAAGAAGTTAGCTTTGATAGATCATATTTTCTTTAATATTTAAGCATTAACAGCCTTGGGTTATTGCAATAGGGAAAATGCCAAAAGTTGAGCTCACCTAAAACTTTTGCATTTCAGTTAATATAACTTTATGAGCCAAATGATAACATGATTTACCGCTGAATGCCTTTATCAATTTCAGTTCATATATTGATCATTCAATTATAAAATTAATTTAACCAATAACCTACCTACATTCTGTTACATCATTTTTGCTTGACTATAAGTATATATTAGATTGTTACTGGGTTAATCAATAAATGAAGTGAAATGGAAAAAATGTTCACAAAGATTCAGCTATGGATCATTTTCCATTGCATTATGTCATGGAAGTAAAGACCATGCATGTATATAGGTTCAACTTCAAAATCATATTGGAGACTTAATTGTAAAATATAACAGTTTCCATGTTAGCTAAGTTCATTTCGGAATTTGAAAAGAGAATTACTAAGTTCATAAATGCCTTCAAATCATTAGATAACCAACTTGGGATAAAAGAAGAAAAAAGAAAAAAAAGATGCCCAAATTATTGAGATTTTCTATCCAATGCAATTGACTTACTAAAAAATGTAGAACAATTTATACTTTGGACACTATGAACAAGTTTTAGATGTGATAACTGTTCTCAAAACCTTTTTAAGTGCCACTGTTTGATGATGGCACCGAGAAAATTAGCATCCGATGAGAAAATAGACATGCCACAAGTAACAAATGATTAGCATTTAATTTCAATTATGGGTTCTAAGGACTTCCACAATGTTTCAGTGACTAATTTACAGGTTTTACATATCTACTAACCATCAATTATGTTTAAGGTATGCAAACAGCTGATCGCTGAATCAATCAATCCATCCAAATGAGAAACCAAGCCCCCGAACAATGCAACCTGAAAAGTTCAAAAAATGAATCCATGACTATATAAATATAGAAAAAAATTACATGCAACTTTGATGTGGTAAAAACTGACATACCTACCTCTGCAGTTTCCAGAAAAAGATCAAATTGCCTCTGGGCAGAAATAGATGGTATTGTGACTTCACTAAATGTGATGCAGGATTTGACAAAACTCAGATGTTTCTTGGTGCATTTCAATGTTTGAATTGCTAAATAATTGCTGGAGTGAACAAGAGTTTCCTGCATGGAAGCGTGATTACTATGTCACCACTATTTTAAAATTACAAGGGCATTTTTTACGTGTGTGATTTTGGTCTCTCCAATTTTAATTGATCACATTTAGTCACTCTAGTTTTTCAAATGCTCAATTTTAGCCTTCCACCCTAAAATTTTATACAATAATTAATAAAAATATAATGGAGGTATGACATTTTATTAATTTATACAAATAAATAAATAAAATGTGATTTCAATACGAAAACAATTACAGACAAATAATAACACAAACACTAAAAGATTAATTGCTTAGTAGCATTGACCTAAGTAGAAACCTGAAAATCAGCTTAACTTACCCTTATGAGATATGTATTGCACTAGACATCTAATTTTTTGGCACAAAATTAACAAATACTAATGTTAAAATTAAAAATTAAGACAAAAGTGTTTGCAAGTTGCAACAACTATAAACATTTTATTATTTGTCTGCTCTCTCTGATAACCCTACCATCTAAATTCTCAATTTTAATGGCTGCTCTTTACAATTACAATATATATCATAGGTAAAGACTAAACTTTTAGTGGCCAGTTGGCAATGCCAATAGGATTATTGGGCCAACTTGGGCTTGACTTCTCTCTGTGGTGA